TATGTACTTGATTACTTGAAACTAGTAAAGAGATTACAGGAACTGTGCAGTTTTGAAGTGTTTACTGTTAAGGCAAGCTGGCTTAAATGATGAGGGTGATGCAGATTTATAAAGTCAGAGGTGTCTCCTTTTTGTATCAAGCCGCAATGAAAATATGCTTTCACTTATTGCTTTTCTGGTGCAGCAACCTGTTTCCCACAATGGCCAACCAGATGCCTCTAGGAAGCACACAAGCAGAACATGAGGACAATAATGCTGTTCCCCTGGTCTTCCAAAGTAGCTAGTATTCATGTTCATGCTTCCTCTGATCCTTGAGGATGCATATAGCTGTCATGGGTAGCAGCCATTGGTAGTCTTATCTTTCATAAATTTATTTAGTCCCCTTTTAAGACATGCAAGTCAGTATTACCTTTTTTAAGGTTGCAGGAGGAAGAGGCCTGAATGCAAAAGAGCATTGATAATGGGTAATGATAATGGGTAAAGAAACAAGTTAGTAAAAACATCAAACAGAACCTAGGGCAGGAATCGCCAACCTTTTTGGACCTCTAGGTACACTTGGGAATTAGATGTTGTGGAATGTGCTCCCCAAAGAGGTTTGCCTGGCACGACTTTATATTTCTTTTGGCACCAGAAAAAACCCTTTTTATTTACCCATTGTTTTAAGCATTAAGGGATTTTAAATGGTTTTAACATCAACAGTCATATTTTGTTTTTTGTTTTGTTGAGACTATGAATGCTAGTTATTTTGTCGTTTAGATCTTTTGACCACTGGTGTTGAAGCCTGTGTTCAACAATTGCTAGACAATTGCTAGACAATCCCTATGGAATGTGGAAAAATAATTGTTGGTGCCCATGGGTAGCATGCTGGGACCTCCAGGTTGGTGTCATTGGAGGTCTCTGCAAGTGGTGCATTGTAAATGCTGATCCTTTGCCCAACATTGGAGGAGTGAAGAACCACCTACCGATGAACTGATTTTGAAAAAGATATTGGACTGTGCCGAAATGGACAGATTGACTTTGTCTCTGAAGGAGAAAGAGGATACATACTTCTATCAGACTTGGAACTCTTTTTATTATTGGCTAGAGAAACAGGACTATGCATAGATTTAAATATGTTTATGGATTACCATAAAAAAAGTTATGGGGGTTGACCCAGTAGGTCTGATGTTTCTGATGATTGATATTTTTTAGTTTCTTTTTGTTAGTTGGTAGAGAAATAATAAAACTTACTTTAAAAAAAAAAGTAAATGCTGATCCTAGGCTCACTGGTGGTTTGCCGCATTGAATAGCTAATGAGATTGGATCAACAATCTGCTATTCTACACAGCGCATACCTCTGGTGGATCCAATTTAGGAATCATGTGGGGGCTTTCATGGGGAAACTGGGAAAGGGGAAATCTTGTTGCAGAACTGAAGGATTGCTTGTATAACATTGGATATAGCCCCTGTCTTGAGTCTCCTTGATTATTAATAATGTTTGAGTTTTATAAAAACATAAAAATTACCTAATTCTGGAGAGTATTAGAACAGCTTTAGTCTGGATCTGTTTCTTTAGGTACACACAGTAGAAGTTTAGAGGTTATTAGTTCTGTGCTCTGAAAGTGTTGTGGTATTTTGCAGTCCTCTGTGTTGTCAGATGATTTTATATGGTACATTTTTGGCAATATGTGCATCTCCTCCTTGTACCATTAAACTTCCTACAATACTTAATTACAAGGCATTTCTAAAACAAATGAAAATCCACTTCCATTTGATCTGATGTTGTTATTCAGTGTATTCCTTGACCTAAAGTCACCTCTGACAGTGTGTTTTGCTTCTTACCTATCTGCATTATCAAGGTTATAATTTCAATCAGGGTTGGATATGCAAATGAGCCAGGCACTCACTTGCCCTAGATAGGAGATGCTGGAGTATCGTTAACTGTCTAATACTTCATTCATTATATTTTAGCCAGCATGGGAATCATTGTCTTTGGTCATCTCTGACCTCACATAGAAAGATGTTTACATGTTGAAATGTTGCTCTAAATGGAGAATGCTGGGCTTGAGCCTGCACCACTGAAATCAATTGGAAAAGAATGAGAATTGGAAGATTTTATCACTTATGAATTCATTATCTTGCTCTTTGCATGTGCTTTGCTCAGCATTACTACTTAACTACCATGAACTATGAAAACCACAGGAATTCTCCCTTTTCAACCTCTTTGAAGCCCTTTCAGGGCTTACCCCACTGTACCCCATCACTCTGCACTCTTTTAAAGATTGCTTCTTTCATTAATGGTATTAAAGCTATTTACTCCAATGTGTACCTTTCCCTGCTCATTTCTCCCCTCCTGTAAATCTTTCAACTTTTCTCCCCCCCCCCCCACACCCGCCCCAACACCTTACTGATTACCCTGTTGTCATTGTATGTCTCTTCCATGTGCCCCCTTGAACCTATTCTCTTTCAGCTCCTGGTTTCAATCTTCCTTGCCAATATCCATCTTCTCATCTACATAATCGATGACATACATTGTCTCTTCTTCTCCCCTTCCCACCCCAGTTTCTTTGCTGCTTTCAAATTAAGTGCCAATATGCTTCTTCATTCTAAAAATAAAATAATAAAATTAAATAAAATTAAATAAAATGATCATTGGAACTGAGGTGCTACTCCAGCTGCCACCTGATTACCCTTCTGCCCTCTGTGTAGAAATGTTTGGAACATGAGGCTTATTCCTCCTGCCGTGGCTTTCTCTTCTTCTACGCCTCAAGTAACCCTTTGGAGTTCACTAAAACTGTGTTCACCAGAACAGCAGATACTCGCCCCTTTGCCAAATCTAGCTTTCTCTGTTTTCCTAATGTTCCATGACTGCTCCATTTTTTAATGTTCTCGTTTGCTTGCATAATTTCTTATGTCCCAAGTTTCCTTGATACTCCTCAGCTGGTTCTTATCCTCTCTGTGTAATCATTCATGTGGCATTTTCTCAGAGGGAGCCGCTCTTTTGCCTCCCTGCGTACATTGAGGTTTTTCAGGGATTTGTTCCCAGTGCTTGCATTCTTCCTTAGAGGCTGTTCTGCATAACCTCACTGAATCCCATCTCTCGCTACCGTTTCTAAACGTATGACAAGTAGCTTCTACCAAGACATTTTCTGGGCTTCCAACCAATCTTGTATCTCCAGGTGCCTGATTGCTACTTTTGTTTAGATGTTTTGTCCCTGACTGAAACTGACATGCTGAAAATGAAACTTTCTATCCTTCCTCCTTTCTTTTATTTCATACTGTACACATTTGTCAGTATTGTCTTCTCATAAGTTGACTAGGCATGAAACCTTGGCTTATCTTGGATTTTTCCCTCTTTGTTGCTCCCCATAGGCAGCCTATCAAGTCACATTTTTTTCCCTTGTATAACATGCTAAACTATGGCTATTCATCACCATCCCTTCTGCCAAAATTCTGATTTACTTGCTTTATTTTGAAAGAACTGTGTTACTACTGCAGTCTTCTGTTCGGATATTTGTTGCTAGCCCTCTGCCTTTCTCCCTATGCCATTATTCAGACAATGTGATACTTCTTCACTGGTTTTTCCCAGGACAATGTATACCTTCAAAATCTTCCATAGATCCTGCTTGTGCATAACAACAGACTAGGGATTAAACAAACCATAGGCTGTTGGGGATGAATAGGAAAGAGCTACTTACTATGTGGTTGCCACTTTAGTAAGTAGTGGCAAGTAGTGGCAGCCTGTGGATAGCCCATTTATAAGTGGAACATGGTTTGTAAATATGGACCATTGGGTTATTCAGGAGCTGAACATCCTAAAAGTTAACCCATGATTTTGAGGTTTAACTGCTGGGTTGTTTTGGTCATAAACAACCCATTGTTCCAAGTTTCTGCATTATGCTCAACCAGCTGTGAATAGGCTGATCATAGGATATTATTAAAAGCAGAAGTGGCTGTTATGTTGCAGGCAGTGCTGCTTATCTCCTAGGAGATGCACATGCACATGCGAAATCAATAAAACACAGATCATGAGGCATGTGGGTTACATATTCATGCACATGCAGGAGAACTCTGACCAGTTCACAAATCACATCAGTCTTGTTGTGGGTTGTGGTGGTTGTTGTGTGATATAACTTGATTAACAAAACATTAAATGTTCAAGGATTTATTTGGATACTGTATTCTTTTTTCTAGTATTCCCAATGGATGGGTAATTTTTTCTTGCAAACAAACTTGCGCAATATAGGTAAATGTAGGCTAACTATACATGGGAAATAGCCTGAAATGTTTCATAGCCATAGTTCAACATGTAATGGATGCTTAATCCATTGAAATCAATGGCATAGAATAATTCTAACTATCTTTACTTAGACATCTGCTGTAAGTAACTGTGGAAACAACAGCAGTGTTTGATGATCCAGTGCCAACTGTTATGTACATATAATAAATATCCAAATATGGGATGCATGAAAGTGTATAAAGCTCACCAAGGTGACTATTCAACATTGTGGAGTGCCTTTTAGTTTGTGGTAACTGATATCCTGATTTCCCAGCTGTTCTGTGAATAGATGCTGTACCACCTTTGCTTTTGTAGTTCATGGAGAAGCTTATGTAATAGAGAGGCACAATTATTATAAGTCTGCTCAAGCATATGGATAAGAAGATAAAGAAATCTATAAGTTTTTCATGTTAATTTCTGGTGTCAACTAACTTCAATACTATTGTATACTTGTGTAATGAATGATTACAGCTGTAGTCCACCAAAGCTATATAGATTTGTGTATGACAGCACTAGAAACCTCTGGCTGGAAACCATCTTTTGACCTTGCTATCACATGCTGAAAATTAGGGGACAGTGCCCCTGTCTTTTCCCCCATAAGCACTTGAAAATTATTGGGTGTTACCAGCTTTATTCAGAAGTGTTATTAAATTATATGAGCATTTTTCCCTAAATAGAATAAATAATGTTTTATACACAAGGTAACTTTGCCTTCTTTCTCTCTCTCTTTTTTTTTATATAGAAACCATAGCCCGTTAATGAGTTTTGGAGCCAGCTTTGTCAGTTTTTTGGTAAGTGACCACAAAATATTTTTATAGTCACTTGTATTCATTTTCTTCGGACAACATATATCTGGTGGAGAATATATAAAATTGCCACTGGTCATGAAAATGGGTAAAAAAACCCTCATTTTTTACAGATGCCTGGAAATGCAGCAGTTCAGTTTAAGGCTGTAATTCATAATTTAGGCTTGGTTCAGATGTCAAAAACTTGTTCCTTTGAACAAATTTTTAGGCACTTTCCAATTCATGATTTGTGATCAAGGCACTAGCCATAGTGTGCAAATTTGGACATCATAGCAAACTATGCATGGTAAAATGAAGTCAGAGTAGAGTATTTGACAGTCTGGTTGTCATCCAGATAGTAGTATTAGCAAAAACTATTTTGCAGCACATCTTCCTTTCCCTCCCACAGGATCCAAATGCCAAATCAAGGAGAGGGATTAAAATTTCAGCATCAGAGTCGTTATGTAACTCTTGCTCTCATATCAGAAGTGGAATTGCAATACTGGCATTGTTCCTGGCGAGAAATTTTAATTTTGCAGTATACTGTATGGTATTCAAACCTTTCTATGTTGGGTTTCCTTCTCTCCTTCCCATGCCAGCATTTCTATGCATTTGCATGAATCATGCTGTTGCTTCAAACTCAGTGGATTAGGAAAAAGAGCTAGTAAAGATTGTGTTGGGCCTAGACTTAGTCACACTAAGTGTCTGTTCACATGGATTATTATTGGGTTATTTGTGGGTTGTTTCCCCTCCTAACAAGCCATATTCTGTGAGTTCAGCCAACAGGACAAGCCATGTTCGGATGTGTGATTAGGCAAATGGTGCCTGGCATCCAGCACAGCATCACTGCACCCTGAAAGACATCTGCTTAGTTACAGTTATAAATATAGCTGCAGCACTTTTCACGCCTGTGTTATTCAAAACTTTCATTAGAAAAAGCGTTGGGGAAAACTCATAAAAGTGGAGGTGCATCAATTCAAGGAGTTCCAACAGTGTTATAACTTGACTTGGAGACATAAATGTTAATATGGATATTTTTTAAAATTGGAGAATATGTACAGCTATATCTTACAACAAATGAATGAATTTATGTAACTTAGTTCTCTGTTTAGCTAATATAATCTGACAGCATTTTCAATTCAACTGTATATGAAGTATTTGGTTATGTTAGAAGCAGAAATAGGGAATGAGTGAATTTCTGCTTTTCATTGTCTTTATGGTTATTAAATTATACTCATATTTATGGAATAAAAAGGCAGCAACTCTTGTATTTCAGATTTATTTCATCTTGTGTTTTATTTTATCTCATGTATGTGTTAAAAGCCTGAGAAATACAGCAAAGAATTGTTTTTTATTTAAATATTTTATTATTCTAAATATACAAACAGATAACATAGATCACATAAAATTGCAATGACAAATACAACCAATATTCCATTAACAGTCACCAAGCAAACTACATTTTCCAACATACAGTATGCTATTTGATAACTTGCTGTTTCATAGCAATAATAGGGTTGTCCAGAGTTATTCAAACTTTTGATCTTTCTGTCCAGATAAAGAAATTCTGTTAACTTTACCAGTGAAGTAATGAACTACAGTAATACCTCAGTTCACAAACACCTCTGTTTGCGAACAATGTGCTTCGCGAACAGAAGTTTGCCAAATTTTGCTTCCATTCGCAAACTCCACATTGGGTGACTCTGTGCCGCCCGCTGAAAGGGAGAGCACGACATGAGGGGGAGGCATGAGGATGTGCTCACCTTGGTTGAGACCTTCCTGGCTCCTCGCCACCACCCCACTTTCAAGCCGGAGGAAGGTCCCTTTGCAGGTCCTCGCCCGGCTCTGGGAGGGGGAGCAGGAGGCCAGAGAGGCGGGCGCAGGATGGCTTCCCCGTCTGGGAGAGGGCTGCAAGAAGGGAGGTAATGGCTACTTTCCAGGGGCCGAGGTGAGGGACGGGGCTGCAGCCGGCCAAGCGGGATGCCTCCCACTTCTCCCCGCCACAGGGGGAAGAAGCATGGTGGCCACTTGACAGCCGCTTGCCCTGAGAAGGCCATGGTGGAGGCACGAGAGCCACAGTCCTGCTCTGCCTCAGCCCATCCGCTCCCAGGCTCCGTGAGGCGGCCGTGGCTTGGCTTACAGTCCGGGGACATGCTTCATATTTTTGTGGTTAAAAAAATGGTTCACAACAGATTAACCTTATTACATTGGACGTTATGGGAAAATTTTATTCAGCTTGTGACCAATTCAGTTCACGACCAGAATCGTGGAACGAATTAAGTTAATGAATCAAGGTATCACTGTACATCTTATCCATTTTTCTATAGGAGTAATAAGTAGGCTGCATTTAGAAGCAATAACTAATGCAGCAGCAATAAAAAGATTGTCTACCACTTGCTCATGCTCACTTTTAACATAGTGACAACATTAAGATACTCAAACAAAATGTCCATTGGATATGTATGGCTCAGATGAATCCTGCCATATAATTCATACAGGTTATAACTTCTTCCCAAAACAGTCAATCTTTTTCTAAGTCCATCATAAATGGAAAAGGGCTGTGTTGGTTTCTGCACATTTCCAACTAATACTGCTAACATTGGGATATATCCTGACCAGCTTTTGTGGTATCATATACCAAAAGTATAGTATTTATAAAAGTTTTCCTTTAGATGAAGACATGAGGAAATTTTAGGACCATTTTGAAAGATGTTACTGCACTGTTCTAAAATATTTACAGATGAACCATTTGTATCATTTAACTACTGGCCTAATATTTTTATTATGCATCTTCAAGATTAGTTCATGATATTTGGACAGTTTAAACTACCTTTATTAAAGGGCTGTTGCAAGGTTGCTGCAGACATTCTTGACTTTTTATTATTCCATAAAAATTATTAATTGATTCCACTGATTTAATGTAGTCACTGGTATTGATATGGGAACATTTTCAAAAATAAACAGAAATATAGGTATAACAGTCATCAGTATTATTGCTAAATGTCCTTACCATGACACCACTAATTTAGACCATTTTTAGTGCCTTCCTCAATTGTTGACAAAAGTGGAACTTAGTTTGGAAAAGCCTATCAATGGTTGGACTAATATGTACATCCAAATATTTAAAAGATCCATTTTTCTTTTTTATATTAGCTTTACCAGTTATAGCATGCTTAAATTTATCTGGGATATGAATTCCCAACATTTTTGTTTTATGGTAACTTATTTTCAAAGTCTGAAACCTCACGGTACCAGCTATGCCCTGTAACAACTTTTCAGTAGATGTTTCAGATTTGGTAATTGTTGCTAAACTCATTTTATATGCATGCACATACACATGAAGTAGAAGCTGTTAAAATATTTCTGTAAGAATTCTGTCAGGTCATCAAAATGAAAATCCAAATGTGAATATTCCATGCATGGTTTTGAGGAGCTAACCACAGCTTCATGCTCTGTTGGTAACTTGTAAGCATTGCTGTAGCAGTTGTACCTGAGAAGAAAAGGGAAACTGAGCTATTATCTTGAGCAGACTGGGTCTTGTATTCTGGAAATGAAAAATGTAGCGCATACTAAAATACCTTCCATCATATATGAAGTTAAAGAGTCTGTACTTGTAAACTCTGTGCCCCATCCTCACAATCTAGATTCTTTTATAAATAATAACATACAGTCCCTTGATAGCTGCTGATAGAGCATTTGATCTTACAAAAGCAGTAAATAAATAAAGAATAATAGCATGGGTAAAGTTTCACTTCTTGATGATGTACTGGAATGGCACCAAGAGCTCCATTTGATTTATCATGCATTCGAACCAGTTCCTAGTTTCTTAATTACATATAGGTAACATATTAGCTATGGATACCGTGGATGTCAAAATACAGTCAAGATGTTCATGTTGGACAGCAGTCTTCCCCAACCTCATGCCCTTTAGAAGTGTTGGACTATAGCTTTCATCATTGCCAGCCAGTATGGCTAAGCTGCTGTATAGTATCTTTACTTGCTGAAGTATTAATATAATGAGAAATCACCTCTCTTGAAAAACCATTGCATATGGAATTAGATTTCTTCAGTGCTGAAGAAATCTAGTGCTAAACCAGGACATGAGAGTTATTTGACCTGCCCCCTTAGTTGCGTTTGAAACTACTAGGCCAAAGGAATTATATGCTTTTGAACAGTACTCAGGCTGCAAACCTAAGTATTCAAGATTTATGAGCACAGGGCACTGTTAATTGTGATCTCAACAGTTAGATTAAGTATGTAATAATTAGAAGAATTCTTCAATTAATGTTATATTGTTCCACTGGGGAGTGTTCATCCTACTGCCTGTCTATACCCTTCTGTTCAGTGCATGATGATAAAGTTAGCATGTCCTAATTTGCTGGATTAGCTTTACAGTTTCTCTGTCCGTGACTGTTAAATGCAGTGCTCTTCAGTGAGATGGTTGTTTCTTAGACAGTGAGCTTATTTCAAGTACTTATAAAACAGTTTATATAACATCCTTTGTGAAATAGTAAGCAGGTTTAGATTAGTGTGTCACTTTATGATTCAATAGTCTTTATGTTTTAACAGAATGCCATGATGACTTTTGAAGAAGAAAAAATGCAGCTGGCATGTGAAGATTTAAAAGCTACTGAAAAACTGTGCGAGAGCGAAGAAGCAGGAGTTATAGAAACCATCAAAAATAAAATTAAGAAAAATGTAAGTGCTATTAGGTGAATGAATACATACTGTGCCAAAACAATGTTGTGCAGCCTTTTGGTTCAGGTTTGAACCATTGCTCTGATTTCTTGTGTACCAGAATTCCCAGGATTCATGACTGGTGTTCACTCAAATACACATCTCCATCCTAGCTTCGGCCTTATTCTTTACTTCTCTGAGCAGGCAAAAGCGAAGCTAGTTGTCACCAGCTTCAATTACAGACAAGTTCTTGTAATTGAAGGACAAAATCTTGACTCCTGCTTATCTGGACAAAATGTGGTGCTATTTAGCTACTCACCGTAAACAAAACTTTATTTAAGTAACCCCAGCCATTTTGTTGCTATTTATTGACTGCCTGTTGTTAGATAACTGGGTTTTTTCTTGCAGTGAAGTTTGTTTCTTGTTCCTAGTTTTATGCATGCCTCTTTTCCATTTGCTGGCCATGTAGAGTTGTTTGACAATGGTGGCCGAGTCCTCTGGGAGGTATCTACAATTCCCTACTAAATGAATTATATGTTTCACTTGGCTTAGCTTCATACTGCCTGGACCTGTGGAAACCTCTCATGTGTGATGGCTAAATAGAGGCTCCCGGTTAAGAGGTAGCCTTGATCTTCTGAATTCCAGGTACTGAGAGGCGAAGAGAGTTGTCGCCCCCCCCCCCCCGGCTACTATTATCCCAGTGGCACTTGACTGGCTCCTGCTGGGAGTAGAACAGTGCACTAGAGAGGGGCTATTCACTTGAAACCACAACTCGGCAGAGAGGGTGAAGATGGTGACGAGATTTGCGATGAGTGCATGCAGTGGTGTGCTTGCCTCTGCGCCACACACATAGAGCTAAACTATGAGCAGAACAACTCAACATGACTTGAGTCACAGCTTTATACAGACATTTGCAACATCATGTCTCAGCAGCCATGTGTGGATCTCTGCTTGCCTTTAGAATTTGGCTACTATTTCTCAAAACTTAAAATTGACAGATAAGAAGCTCACTGTTTGGTACTTAACAAATAATAATGATTAGTACAGTATTCTCTCAGCTAGTAAAACCTGGTAATGTTTCCACCTCAGTTACCACCACCTGTTATATAAATATATTCAACACATTCTCTCTGCAAAATCAGAATGATTAATTGTAGCTGGTAGCCCTGTTGAAGTGTCCTATTGTTCATGTCTAGCTCTGCTAGTTCACTGGAACTAGTGCAGGATGCTGCATAGGCTATAAATAATTGAAGCTTTGGCTCTCTTTGAGAATATGCTGCATTATTAATGCTGAGTGTATACAGTCTGGGCAGTTGGTTTAGATTTGCTATTCCATATATGTCCTAATGGGAAAAGGAGGAGAGGGCTCTGTTTTCCTATTCCCAATGAGCAACTGCATCTCTACACAGTTGCTTATGAAGCCAGGGAAGGGGTGCCAGCACAATGCTATATTAAACAACCCAACCCATTCAGATTATTACATTTTCATAGAAAATGGTTTCTCTGACACTGGAAGAAAGACAAAATGATATTCTAAATATCATTTAGATATTGTATCGGTATGTAAACAGTACCAGTCTACTTACTACATCACATTTATATTCTGTACCTCAAGGTGGCTTACATTGCTCCTTTTTAATTACACAGCTACAACTTTGGAGGTAGGGCTGAGAATGAGTGACTAATCCAACATCACCCCATGAGCTTCATGTCTAAGCAGGGCCTAGTTCTGCAGTTCAACACTCTCACCATCACACTTACTCTATGATCCTTTAAAACAGGGCTGCAAAACTTCAGGCTGTCATGGGGCCAGTTCCCCCATCCATTCATCCAGACCCACATTTTCCCCACAGCTGCCAAAGTAATTTCATTGTCAAGCTACTACTTTTATTCCCGCTTCAATAAAAAGAAAAAAAAACGTGGCAGAGGCTAAAGGAGGGTAGAGGGACCACACTGGTGAGTGCCAAGGACTGCATGCAGCCTGAAGGTCAAGTGTTGCTCATGTCTGCTTTAAATGATCTTAATGATCTTGATCTGATAGGATGCACAGTAGTATCTGCTTATTGTACTGATGTAAGTGTGGGGTATGTGTGGCCCTTCAGATGTTGCTGGACTACTATTCCCATCTGCCCTTGCAATTGTCTGTGCTGGCTAGGGCTGATGGAAGTTCTAATTCAGTAGCATCTGGATGGCCACACATTCTCTACCTGTGTACTAAGCTAGCTAAAATACAAAGCAGACCTTTTTCATTTAAAGGGCATTCTCTTGCATTGCTATGGACTCTGTGGTATTTGATACTCTACATGTCTTTCTATTTCTTCACATTTCTCACCACAAAATTATGTCAAACTAAGTTTGCACCCTCCAGAGTGTCACACGTGGGCATATGTTTGGTTCATATCATACTTCCAGAATGCTTAGGGGTCTGTGTTAGTATTGTGACTCTGACTTCTCTTTTGAAAGAAGATGCTTTCAGTAAGGAACTATGATATGGTCTGTCAGTAGAACCTTACCATGGTACATATGAACAATGAATGTGACTTCTGTAACAAGTGGGAAATGTGCAGTATTTGATTCTAATTATAATATAGTTTTATCCTCACAATATGAAAATTGTCTTTAGAAATGGGTATTGTTTCAACATTCTAGGGTTTCCATTTTTATAAAACTATCTTTGCTTGACTAGAAGCCCCATTATGAAGTAAACATTGTTTGTGTTAGGAAATTTTAAGATGCATATGACATTTCCAGTTTTCTCTCATGGTTTTTAAACAGGTTGATGGTCGAAAGACAGCCCTATCCATGATTGATCGATTGCAGAGACAGATAATTGTAGCAGACTGTCAAGTTTATCTTGCTGTGCTCTCTTTTGTAAAACAAGAATTATCAGGTCAGTTCTAGGTTCTAATATTTAAAAAGTCTTAATTTTTTCATGGCATTTGGTTGAATGTTCTGTCATTTTGATTTAGCTTAGTAGTTCTTTTCTTATGTGGGAATAAAGTACTATTTATTGATCAATTTGACTTTCAGTTGATTTTAAACCTTCTAGTAAATTTATCTTCTAATACCTTCCTGAAAGGTACAATTTGCTAAAAGAAAAACAAGCCATAACTTTTCCTATGTATTCTGTAGCTTTCTTTGTGTAGTTTCAGTACATTTTTAGAATGCCAAAGTCTATTCTTATGGGTTATTGCCTCTGTTAACAGTGTTGACAGAACCAGAAATATTTTTATGTACATGAATTATTATTATTATTATTATTATTATTATTATTATTATAACATTTCTATGCCACCCCTTGCCGAAGCCACGGGGCGGCTTACAACACAATAAAATACATTGAAATACAATAGAACATAATAATAGTAGTTCTATGTCCAGACACAGTGTTATATGTTATTGTTACCTTAGTTATTGGGAATAGTTTAAATATAGCTAGGTATATCACTCCACAAATGCTTGTGCCATAATAAATATTATTGTCCTTAGGGTGCTGCAATACTCTTTGAAGTTTTACCTGATGGTTTTCTGCATGTTAGTACTTTAGCTATGAAAATAGAGAATTTATATAGAGATGTTCTGAACTGTAGCCCACATTACTTATCTGTGGATATGTACTCCAAGATGATGGTGAAGGGGTTCCCTCTGCTCCATGCCTACTGCAGCATTGCTGAAGGAAATTATATAAACACTTGCCTTGTGATGAACTGTTTAAGAACCAAATATGCCATCCAGCAGAAAGTACTTGCAAATGCACGGTACTACAGTAACTTTAGCCTTATTATAAAGCTGAATCATAGCTATCTGTACAAATGTTTTATTGCAAGAAACAGCTTCATTGTCCAAAGCTTGTTCAATCTAGAGCAGACTGCTCTCTTTATTTTGTTATAGGCTATTGCAAAGTATTTGGGAAAGGAGTAAGAGTGATTTAACTATTTTATTGATTTATGGTTGTAACAGTCCTTCAGCGCTACTTAGTCTTGCTCTTCTGACCTGATTTATTCTTACATACTGGTTTTGAGTCTTTCAGCACAGCATTACATTGGATTCTCTAGAAAGCAATGGCAGTCTTCTCTATATACTGTATACTTACAAACGGCTTCAGTCCTTTTGTGTTGTTTTGATTTAAAAATCACATATAGGGTCTGAGTATAAGCATGACTTTGTGTTGTAAATTTGTCTTATCTTTGTCTCTAACAAGCAATTTATATTCCATGAAAGAGTCTTAATGGCACCATACAAGATTAAGGAATTTATTCTGGTATGAACTTTCCTGGACATAGTTAATTTAATGCAATGCAGAGAGTGTTCACCTCACATTGGCAGATCCTTATAAAATACTGGGGGCATGGGGTGTCCCTGTACAAGTGCATACACTCAAGTGTGTGCACAGTCAAAGGGAACTAAAATAAAACAATGAACAGACAGTGATGATTACATTTAATGGTTGCCATTCCCATAATGATACTGTGTACTTAACACTGACATACCTGTATTGAAGAGCTGATTAACATAGGTGGTATGGTTAAAAAGAAACAAGCTTTGTCATCATTCAACCACAGAGATAGTGTTGATTTTTTTGATGGATTGTACTTAACAGTTTCACACATTCTTGAGCAAAAACATCTGTGAAATGTCTTTGCTCAGGAATGGTCACCTTAAGACTATTCTTCTGTAGTTTCTCAGTTTGAAAAAGCCTTTCTTTTTTCTCCCCTCAGCTTACATAAAAGGTGGGTGGATCCTTAGAAAAGCTTGGAAAATCTACAATAAGTGCTACACAGACATTAATACACTTCAGGAATTATATCAGAAGAAGATAAATCGGGAATCCTTGACCTCCGATGCTGCAAATGATAATCATATTGCCGCAGAAGGTGTAACGGAGGATTCGCTAAACAGACTGAAAGGTGCTGTTAGCTTTGGATATGGACTTTTTCATCTTTGCATATCCATGGTGCCCCCAAACCTGCTCAAAATCATCAACCTGCTGGGTTTTCCTGGAGACCGCCTACAGGGGCTTTCTTCACTGATGTATGCAAGTGAAAGTAAGGACATGAAGGCCCCTTTAGCTACGTGAGTAGCTATATTGCAATGCTTTGGTAATAACTTATTACTGAGAGTAAGTGAACAGCAAGCCAGCATGAGTTAGAAAGCAGCCTTGGTTTCTTGCATTTTTTTTCTTTTTAAATGGAAACCTCTGCAGGGAGAATAGCTGTAGCTCTTGGTAGGTGTTATGCTTTGCATGTAGAAGGTCTTGGGTTCAATCCCCAGTATCTCCAGGTAGGGCTGGCAAACAGAATCCTGCCCAAAATCCTGGAGAGCCTCTATCAGTTACTTTCAACAATAGACACTAGGTGGATCAAAGGGGTCTGACTCAGCATGAAGCCACTTCCTATATGTCTAACATTATGAACAAATTGGTGCTTAATGTGCAATGGTTGACATGCAATAGTACTTTAATTGTACCCTATGAAGATTCTTAGTGAATACAAATACTTACACTTGAAGTGAATGGTAATAAAATAAGCAATTTGTAAGCTCTAACTAATTTGAAAAGTTTTATTAGTCTTCAGTGAGCTTGGCTGAGAATTTCTAGTTTAAGTTGGGGAATTTTAAAACATTTGTATGCTTTCTGTATATTGGTGGTGGACCTTATTTGAAACACAAATGGCTTGAATCAAAGCCCTGGTGTGGTCTGCAAGTGATAAATGGGACTCCTGCATTCAGGCTTCTGTATTCATTTCACTGGATAAGGAGGCACTTACGCCTGCTCTTATCACTTTACACAATTATAGTATCCCATTTCCCTTCAAATGAATTCAGGTAGCCCTGCAGGAAGGAACTTCTATTTTGCAGATCCTGCAGCTGTACAAAATCTCAGGCTTAGAGTAGAACACTTTGAATCCACCAAATCCCATTTCTGCTAATGAAAAGAAGTCAGTTGAAATGGTGCCTTTTGTAGGAATACTCTTTTTGTTGTTAGGAGTTTAGTCAGGAGTTAGTGAAGAATGTGTAATTGGAGCAATTTCTTTTTTATATTAGATTACAGCTGTACATCTGTTTTTGGGTGCTGACACATTATAGTCAGTATGCCCAGCAGGCTTTTGGGGAAATTGTATACTCCTAGTGTCAGAACTCCAACTTCTGGAATCAAAATGAAGTGTTGTGTTCTTCCATTCTACTTCAGCTACAGGCCATCTTGTTTATTCCCCTGCTCAGTGTTTTGGTAAAATGGGTTATATTCAATGTTAGTCTTACTTTGAGTAACCCCATTGTAATGAATGTGACTTAATTTAGGCTAACATGGGATAAGGACCTATAACTCAATCCTGAATTCAGTTTGCACACTGATTCACTTCACTGGGGTGGAGTTTCCATCTGTGCCAAGAAATGCATAGTGAGAACTTCCACTTGCTTCAAACCCTTCTATCTCCATATTTGAATAGACTTTTAGCTTGGAAGGAAGGAAGCCCTGAGCCCCTTTTACACTTTTCTGTGAATGAAATCCACTGTGCATTTGTCTGTAAGAAGTTCCCTTAAGGTGCAGCCATAGGCTTGCTCCCTGTGCAGAATTGGAGGAATACAACCAAGCATGGCTTAAGGTTGTGGCTGAAGATTTGTATTGACCTTACTGATCATGTAGCTGGTTTTCAAGCCATTGTTAAAGGCAGATGGGACATGATTTGCTTTTTCCAGTGGGTGGTTAGTAGCAACACACATGTCTGAAACACCTCTGGCAGCATGTATACTTCTGCTCTGCCTGTGTGTGGTGTGTCAGTTTGTGACCTTGCTTTTAACTTTCCATGCTGCTTGCTGTGATTAATATGTATATTAAGGTTTTAACACAGTAGAGGCCTGACATATATGAGACAGAGAGGAGAGTTGGGTTTCTAATCTTGTGTCAGCATTGCCTAATTGTAGGACTAGTTAATGTCATTATCTCTGTGTGTGTGTCCTTTCAGATTAGCCTTGCTGTGGTACCATACTGTGGTTCGTCCTTTTTTTGCTTTGGATGGCAGTGATACTAAAGCTGGATTGCAAGAGGCGAAAGAGATTCTTCAGAAAAAAGAAGCTGCTTATCCAAACTCATCCCTTTTTATGTTCTTTAAAGGAAGAATACAGCGCTTAGAGGTACTATAAGATTCCTCTCTAATGATTTGGTAACTGAATTGAAAGTGTTCCAGCAAAACATCATCCATTTTGAAGGAAACAATATGTACCCTCTGCACCCACCATTCCATCCACATCTGTCTTGCTAATAATGTAGCCAGGAAGGTAGAGTTTGGGGGGACGAGAGTAGATTCTGAGTGTTATTTTGAAAATAGCAACTTCCTGGTATAAAGTGCTCTAGGTGCATAGACTTTGCAAAATGTTTTGAAATCTCTAACTGTCCTTACAGTGTTTCCTTTGGCAAACTTAGAGTACTTCTCCTAGTTGGCTGCTGTCCCTTTGGTAGCTTTCATTGCTGTCAGCTTAGTGTCTTCCTGCCCCCTTGTGGGAGAAGAAATGAGTTGCTCTGAAGTTGTGCTTAACTGGCAGAATAAAACGACACCAGCATGAGTCAATTTACTGCTGGAACTTAGATGATATAAGAGGTAAAACAATTGAATTTTGCAGCTTGCGCTTATCTAGAGTCACATGGGCAAAATGTACAATATGAAGCAGCCTAAAAACTTACCAGCTAGTTAGATGTGAAAGTGGAAGGTGGATTGAGGTGCCTAACCATGAGGACAGAGACTGGAGAAGAGGATTACAAATGATTTTGAATTTAGCCCAGTTGATTCTTTTAGGTTTCTTGTAGAGCAGTATTCTGCCCTCCATCCCAGCTGTATACATTGCTTTGTTTTCTTGGGCTGGCTCTGATGGATGTGTTCAATAGCAAAATTGGATCTGTATAATTCTCAGCATATATATTGTTTCATGAGCTGACATATGCTTGAAATGTAATTGTTCCTCTGTCTTACATGGCTTAGCTGCTCTGACTGGAGGGCTTGAAAACATTTGGGCAGACAGATGACTGCTTAAGGAGAAGAGGGATAACCTATAATCTGAATTCATAGGTGAATTAGCAACTTTTTCTGAAGTAAGCAGTGTGTTTTTTATGCCATGGGATTTCAAATGATGGCTTGATGTAGAGTAGCTGAATAATTATTGGAGGCTTTTGCTATAAAGGGGGATAATTCTTGTTCATTATGCTTGTAGCTATCTTTATTACTCACAGGATTTAGTTCTGCCACAGATCTATACTTAGTACAGTGTTTTCATAGGACGTAAGCAAGAGCATCTGCATGATATTAAAAGTTGTTAATGAAATGTATTGTTTTCTGGACAAAACTAATTTCATACAACTAGTAGGGCCTTCCTAGACATCTCAGTTTTGACCTTCAGAAAAGATACTGCGTATATTCAGGACTTGATCATGTTCACTGTTGAAGGAGAAGCACCCTCTGAAAGCTTTTTGCTTGGGAAGGTATGTGGGTGCTTCATTGTATGACCCTCCTTCCTCCCCTTGGTGTTCTGTGTTCCACAGAGGTGGTTATGAGCAGCATAATGCGGCTGAAACAGGAACTGACATTGCTGTCTGTGCTAGTGGTGCAGATGATGCTTAGGCATCATTGTGTGAGGCAGGAGTGTATGCTGGGGCTGTTGCTGTCATAAACTGATTCACATGGGGGCCTGCACTTCATGGAAACTTCTGTGGAGTTTCAGGAAAGCTGGGATCATCTTCTGTTTATACAACCCTTGGGAATTTTCCAAGTGGTAAGTTTTCCCCTTCCCAGGCTGAGTGGGTATAGTGTGAGCAGAAAGTAGATTTGGATCATCTGGTCTTTGTATTAATTGATCTGGAAAATGTTCCCACTTGCAAGTGCTTAATGATGGCCAAAACAAGATGACTCATTTCCTACCCTAAATTCTACTGTTGAAATTGAAGGAAGCTTGGGGTAATCAGAAGTAGAAGGACTGTACTGTTCTATTCTGGTTCTGAGAACAAATTCCTGCCCTTAGAATTCTTTAGTGTATGACATTTTCCTCTGGCCTTGGGAAGTGGACCTTGGACTTCTGGTGAAGAACAAAATGCTTAAAGGCTGCCCAGCCCTGGGATACCATGCTGGAACAGCCAGCATGGTATATGTTGTGTGCTAGAAAAGAGGGCACCCTTCCAGCTGTTGCATATATACATGTAACATTGCGACCTGACCATCTTGGAGGCATGAGGACAAGGGAATAAAATTCTTTGAATAACCAGTAGTTTGGCTACTAAGTATATAACTATTTTATCCTACAGTTGTGTGTCCTCATTTCTACAGTGTTCTGTAAGGTTTGAATTGCATTGATAACGTTCATATTTATTCACATTGGCATTTTGATGATAGACCTTTTCTCCCCTCTTTGTAGTGTCAAATCAACAGTGCCTTGGCCTCCTTTCATACTGCTTTGGAACTTGCAACTGATCAGAGAGAGATTCAGCATGTCTGCCTATATGAAATTGGTATATAATGATACTAATATCATTTCTTCTTTCTACTATGTTTAACAACTGCTACTAATATTAATAGTACACAGTATATTAAGAACCTTGCATTTTCCTTATAAGGGAGCAATGTAATAACTTTTGATCTTTTCCTAGTGAAATTGCCCTTTTCATTGTTTACAGTTCATTAGTATATCATGCCTCATAATCCATTGGTGCACAAATGTTCTTTGAATATATGCTCATATCTATTGCTAGCCTGTACACCACTTAAGTTAAAATTATAATGTTCAGCTATAGCTTTGATTGTGTTTTCCAAGTACATACGTACACAGCATTAGGAGAATAAAAATAAACCTCACACACTCCAGTTCTGAAATTATATTTTATTCATTTATGGGACATAGACTATTTTGCATACAATTAGAATTATAGATGTTTTATTTAAAAGGAGGTATACTGATACATTCTTCATCAAGTGTTTCAAAGTATAACAACTTAGATGTTTTGTGAAGGCCTTCAGGTAGACATAATGCAGTGAAGGACAACATGTTACAAGGGCCTTGTGTGATGCACAAGGATTGGGACTCATTCAAGCATGGAAATTTACTTGTTTAAGTTTTATTTAGCTGTGTTTATACCATGTATACTCCATTTCTTTTCTCTACTCAAAAATGTTTTTCTTGTTTCTACAGGCTGGTGTAGCATGATAGAAATGAATTTCAAGGATGCCTTTGAATCCTTTGAACGTCTTAAAAATGAGTCAAGATGGTCCCAGTGCTATTATGCCTATTTAACAGCAGGGAAGTATCACTACATAACTAATCGTATGGATGAATGCATGCATGCATGCTTACTCTGGTATATGTTACCAGCATATTTCAGCAAGAAAACTTACCCACAGATTTATAAATCACAACAAAAGCAACTGTAGCAAATTGTGTGTACCTCTTTCTGTTTTCTGTTAGACAAAACGTGAGCTTGGCATGTTGCTCCAGGTGTGGGATGACTTGTATCATTTATAAGGAGCCTGGCATTTTCTAGGTCCTGTACTAAGATTAAAGGTAATACAGGACCTGCTTGCACTCTAAGAAACTTGACATGAAAAGGCTGGTGAAGGAAGACAGAAGTAAATCTAGGCACTAATTCTTAATAAAGTTATTATACAAATAAATAGCCATGGAGAAAGCATGCAGTCCTAAATGGAGGTGGATGGGGAGATTAAATGTAGTGGCCCGGGCAGGCAGTTGTCTTAAGATAACTGGGCAAACTCTTTTTTACTTCATTATAGTGTGTCAAGGAGCCACTGGTGATGTAAATGATGCACAGAATGTTTTCAAGGAAGTTCAGAAGCTCTTTAAAAGAAAAAACAATCAAATCGAGCAGTTCTCAGTAAAAAAGGTTAGTAACATAAGCTCCAGCTAGTATCATACTATGCCTGTGGTTTTGCTAGCACGGTCATGCACACAATGTGGTTCTTGTGCTTCTAAAAATAACCCAAAATGACTAGAACAATTAGTTTCTCGTCAGAGTAAGTCAGTACAGTTTGCAAAAGGGAGCTGCACTGGCCTGCCCTGATCTGGAAACTAGTGTTATGCCAATTTTTGAGGTTATTTTTAGAAGTGTGAAGGGCCTGTTGCACAAGTAGTCACTCCTTTGAGCACAACAGATCCAGCAGAAGTGGAGCAGTCATTTCCATTGAGCACTGCTTTTACGATGCTGACAATTATGATTTAAAAATAATGGCCATCTGTAGTACCTCTCTGAAACATTCAGTATTGAACAACACTGCTTGGACAGCAACATTATTTCCCACTGTGGCCTTTTCAAACCAGTAGGTACAATACTGGGCAATAGCTCAAGTGTTTCCAGATGGGAGGAGTTTTGTTGCGTGAAGCAAATGATTTAACAGTTGGTGTACCACGGGACTGCACAAACTGTCCTTTCCTGACAAATATATTTTTTCCTGCTCCCCAACAATTGTGATTCTTACAATGCACAGAAGAGTTGGCAAGGGGAAGAAGAAAGTGGTAACCAGGACAGGAGGTGTGGCAGATACAGACTGTGCTGTTCTTTGTTTTTACTTCCTCCTCACATTGGTTCTAAGAGGGAGGCAATTGATTTTGCTATGGAGGTGAGTGGGGCCCCTCTGGCAAATGAAGGGTCTGGATCCAAGGACACCTTTGTCACAGTCTGAATGCTCTTGCTTGACTTCCCAGTATTTGCATAAGCAATGCAGATTTCACTGCAGACACAAGTACTGCTATGAGCTTGCAGGCTTTGAGGCTCTTTGTTATAAAATTCTTACATAATTCACACAGGGAAATTTCTTGAACTCTAAATCCACAATATTTGCATTCTATTTGCATGAATAGGAAAGGACAGTTGGCTGTAGATCTCCAGTGCGTATATCTAAGGTTGAAAATTTTTGTCTGTGCATTCATTGCATAGTGCATGATTGCACACAAACAGCTTTCTACACAGAAACTTTATAATGTCTGGAGCAGCCCTCAAGTTGCCTCGTTCTTTCTACCAGTGAGCTTGGGTAGTTCAGTGCCTATAACTTTGAAATGGAGCCACCTCAAAATAGGTTGTGGTTTGTGCATATTTAGGGGACTTCTTCAGTATGCAGTAGCATCTTTTTTATTTACTTGTAAGTCTTGTGAGCTTCTAGGAGGACATGGAAATAAGACAAAAGAGGAATCAATCATATCATTGTGTGTAGTGGGAACTTCTGAGTTTATATTGAATGCCAGAGACAGGAACTTCTGCCTTTGCTGCTGCCTTTTGTCTGAGGAAGAGATGATAGGCTTCTGTCCATTCATAATTTTACTACACTCCTTGATTTTCCTTTTCTCTGATTTCCTCCTTGGTAATGGAAAAATAAAGGGTCTAAGGAAACTGGAAAACTGTGAGTCTAGAAATTATGTCTGCAGTTAAGCCTTAAAACATTGAATGCGTTATGGTTTTCTTCTGATGAGGATTAGTGTCTGCTTTTTTGGTAGAGGGAAAATACATGCTCCTTACACTTTACTTGTTCTCTGGTTCCAGCTACGAGTACATAGCAATCATTTACTTAGTTTCAGGGCTGCTGCTCAGTCCTAGTGCTGAGCCCTTTAGTACTGTGCAAGAAGTTAAAAGCAAAAGTGAACTGTAAAGGGCATTGTCCTCAGTGAGTCCCACACCTCTACAAGGTTGCTGCTCCAGGCTGGTTGTAGCCCTGAACAGGAGCATGGTGTTGCAGGACCCCACAAGTAACAGTCTTTCAAGACTGCTGCTCTTCATGATGATTTTTTTACAAGTGTTGCAGTTTCCCCAGGTGTATAATTCTAAAGTCTGTATTTACATGATTATGTTGAAAACAATTGTCCTTGACTTAGATTGGAAAGAAAATAACAATTTTTACTATTTGCAGGCAGATAGATTTAGGAAGCAGAAACCAACCAAACAGCTCTGTGTACTGGCATCCATTGAAGTACTGTATTTATGGAAAGCTCTTCCAAACTGTTCCTTTACCAACCTACAGCACATGAGTCAAGGTATGAGATGCGACTTCTGTCTTGCTTTTTTGTACCCATTGCTATTTTTTCCATAAGAGAGTTCATTTTCCCATCACTTTTTTATCAGCAATGCTAGCAGTTTGTGCCAATTTGAAAGCAAAAACTGGCTCATTCATCTAATGACTGGCATGCTATAAGCTCCTGTGTTTAAAATAATAAACACTAGAATAATAACTATAAATCAGACTGAAGTTTTGAAGTCCTGCTCTACTGCTATCTTTTTGAAAATATATTTGGCAGTTTCTTAAGTCAAAATGGTGGAAGTATATGCTGCAAATAATTGGAAGGCAGGGTAGTAGCACTTTTTATCCATATGTTGACTAGAAAGAAATAGAAAAAGACAGGCAAATCAGGGGTGGGTTTAAAACTATCTTGTTGACTTTCTGATAGCCCTACTTGATTTTGAGAATCATAGTTCTAATATGGTGGATGGGGAGCATTAGAATATCTAACTTAGAAACCAGGCATTTCAATCTATTACTTTCTTTTTGTCCTAATAAAGCTTGCCAAGAAGTGGATGATTCTGCTGTTCTTGGTTTGAAAAACTTGCTGCTTGGTGCCATACATAAATGTTTAGGAAATGCTGAGGATGCTGTTCAGGTAGGAGTAGAACAAAAAAAAAATCTTCATATCTTTTTAAGAGCAAGTTTTGTGAAATAGCAAGGAAATGTTCTTTGTGTACTGGTGGTGCTGCAAATGGGCATTCAGAGTTATGTGAACAAAATTATTAGAGCGGGGGTAAGAAATGTTTAATCCTCAAGATGTTTTGCCTGCAACTCCCATCAGTCCTAGCCAACATAACAAATGGTGAGGGCTAATGGGAACGCTCCGTCAAAGTACTTTAGCAGCTGCACTGGCTCCAGTTCTTTTTCCAAGCTCAATTCAAAGTTAATATTGACATTTAACACTTGGGACCAGAGTATCTAAAGGAATAATCTCTTGTAATTATCTGTCTGAACCCTTAAATCACCTTTGGAGCTCCTTGTCCAGGCTCCTTCACCAAAGAAAGTTATGTAGGGGTACGGCTACGAGAGAGAGAACCTTTTCTGTTGTGGTACCCTGTTTATGAAATACTAACCCCACATGGTTCCTGTGACAGGCATTTTTTTGGTATCTTTCTCTTTTCCCAGGCATTTAAGAGATGTAATCGTAGTTGTTTATGGTTGCTTGAATGATTCCTGTGCTGCATTGTATTGTATTGTGGTCTTCTAAATATCTGTATAGTATTTTTATTTTGTCAATGACATTTTAGGTACTTAACTGTTTGTACTGTGCCCAGAGAACATTGGTTATTAGGTGGAAAAAATGTCTCATAGCTTCTCAGACAGTGTTCTAGAATTTGAAATTCCGCTGCATTCTTTAGCCTGCTTCCCAGTACCATGAAATCCTCTGAAGAAACAGTGGATAGACTTGGCTGCCAGGCAGTTTCTGGTAGTAGAACCTTCTCTCTTTCCCTTGCCCTCCTCCTCTGATGGGAAGTTGAAATTCTGGAGAAATCTCTTGTGAGCGTGATTGCTCTCTCTTTTTTTCTAAGCAGTACAGGATGCTTCAAAGGAAGGGAAATATCTGAATAGACTAGACCAGTGGTTTTCAGCCTTTCCACAGCCGGTGACTGGTGAAAACAGGAAAACTGCCTCAGGGACCACTGAGGTAGAAACAAAAAATACCATGCATATAATACAGTATTCTGTGTATTAGTTTCCAAACACAATACCAAAATAATGAAAATTCTCCAAAACAGCCAGCGACTGAACAACAAAAAATGCCAACAAAAGAACAAAATACAGAAATCGGTGCAGTGCAGCTCCCAGCTGGCTTTCCTTGAGCTATCTCTCCCCTCCCTGCTCCCCCCACCCCCAGCAGCACTGGCACAGTCTCCATGAACACGATGCCAGCTGAGGAGGAAGTGGTGGAGCACACAGTCCCATGCTGGTCCTTGGTGAGCGGGATACACCCTCCCCCCACAGACTCGCAGGACATCTTCCGCAGACCAGTGCTTATCCATGGACCAGTAGTTGAAAACCACTGGACTTAGACCACTCTGGAAGACACTACCCTAATTCATTCTTATTGTATAGGATCATTATTCTCAATATACTTTCGATTTGATGCATCAATCTGTTTAGAAAGCTGGCAAAGTAAGAAGTTTCACAGCTGGAGATTGCTGCAAACTCTAACGAGAAATGTAGTGCCTATTGAAAAGATTTGTTTTGTTCATGGAAACATTGCTGTGTGATTTAATTTGTGCTAGCTATTGTAACTCTTTAAATTTGGTTTTTACATTTTATATTATAATTTTATGTTGTATGAATTGCTGTCTGTGGTCTATATTATATTTTATTGTATTTAATGTACTGTTGTAAACTGCCCAGAGAGCTTTTACAGAAATAAAAGTATAGAAATAAAATTAATGGGAATGATAATAATTTTCTTTTCTTTTGCAGTTCTTTCAGCAAGCCCTTAAAGATGAATTGTGCCGCCAAAACAATTTGTATATTCAGCCATATGCATGCTATGAACTTGGTTGTCTTTTATTAGAAGAACCACAGGTAACATTGTAGATGGTTTTGCTTGGGCTTTGGGGTTAGGTGCTGCTTACTGCTTAATATAGAACCATAATATAGTTGCAAGTGAGTTGGAAGTACGCTTTTCTTTTCCTGCCCACTGCTTTTGTGCTAGTTTGCTTATAGAGCCCACGCCTGTATCCTGAGGCTTGTGTTAAGCTCAGCTTCGCAATGTAATGCTTTTATAATGCAAGTAACAATTTCTCCAGTATGACTTCTGACTGTGTGGTTACTCAAGGTCCTATTTGCCATTCTCTTTTTCAGCAAGTGTAGATAAATCATATATTGAAATTATTGGATCAAATGTATCCACACTTCATTAGTTGGAATATCCCATTTAAACAGCAATATGAAATCAAAATCCATCTCATAATTGTTCAGCATCATGGGTGCAATGTTGTAATATCTGTTACATGATGTGTAGGGTGTTCACATGATATTGTGAGATCAACTTGAATAAACTGTGGTTGGTAGTAGTGTACTATATTAACTATACTGAATTATGTAATTTTTAAGGCCCAATTTAAAATGTTAATTGGTCAAGCAATAAAAAGTTATGCAGTTTGCATGCTGTAGACAATTTAGATGGAGTTGATGGTACCTATGCATGCAGTGTTAGGGTGTCAGTATACTCCAAGTTGATGGTCTGCTAATGCTGCAGGTAGAGGATTATTGGGTAACATTAATCAAGTATGCCCTTCTGGAATAAACTCATTTAGGTGTTAATGCTTACTATTGCTCCTAAACCAGGTATTAGGTGGTTACAAGTGTGGCTTAGGTTCTTTATTGCTGGCATTCATCCTATCTAAGGAGAGAAACAGAGCTGTGGTTATTACATTGCATTTGTATCTTTCCTTATTTATTTATAAATTTATATCCTGCCTTTTTTCTTACAAAGAACTCAAAGCAGCTGTGAAAGTTTGTGACTGGCCCAAAGTCACCCAATTGGGTTCATAGCTGAGTGGGGATTAGAACCCAGGTTGCCTGGGTCCCAGTTTCCCACTCTTACACCACCACACTGGGGGTGTCTCTCTTTTTTTTCCCTCTTGCAAGGAGCCGAAAGTGGTTTACAAACTACATTTTTATCCTCAGAACAAACACCCTGTGAGGTAGGTCAGGTTGTGCATCTGTGACCGAACCAGTGAGCATTATAGTTGCATGGGGACTAGAACCTGGACCTTCCAGGTCCTCAATTCAATGCTCTAACCATTACACCACACTTAGTGCCTATGAACTGTGGTAAGGGTATATAAATCTGGTCAGAATCTAAAGATTTACATAAACATTGAAGATATTCATACTCTTCCCCCTCCATCAGTTCCTGCTTTTCTCTTTCATGCCATATTTAAAGCAACCGTCTTAAAATAGCTTTTAATTAATGCTCTTCAGGGATGAATCTAGGGAATGGTCTTATTGCTATCCAGCAAGTTTATGGAAAGGCAGCACAAGTGTGTTCTACACACACACACACACACACACACGCACGCAGAAAACACTGCCACATAGATGAAGAATTTCTCACTCACTTTTGATTCCTCTGTAAAGAAGAGAGAACCCCTAAAACTCATCAGGCGTGTGGGCAACAGTTGCAAAGCTGAGCTCTCTAGAATATTTTAAGGGTGTGCTTTGGGAATATTATTTGGAGTAAGGGAAGGATCACATGCTTTGCATGTGGAAAGTGCAAGTTCAGTCTGGGGTATTTTCAAGTACAGCTGGAAAAGATTTCTGTCTGAAACTGGAGATTTTTTTTATCTACTTAGTATAAATAATCTTTAGAAATGAGTGCTAAAAATCAATGTTTCTGTCAAAATATGAATGCTGCAGCATGTTTGCATTTTGTTTTAAATTGGTTTAAGCATTGGATAAATGGGACAAAATCCTTGTATCATTGGCTACAATTCTTCTCTCATCATAAACTTGAACCTCATCTTTCTGATATAACATGGATCATTTTCTGATCTTTTTGTAGCTCATTAATGTGTTCACAGATTTTTTCATCTTTTATTTGAAAGCTGTTGTTATCAAAAGGGTCAAATTCCAATATTTTGAGTTAGAAGACATTTCCAGAGCAATACTCCACAGTAAAACTAGCTAGCTACATTCTGGCAGTAAATATTTTCCTAGTTGTGTTCATGTTAGCAGAACCTGAATTCTTATTTGACCATTAATAAAAGTATTTTTATTATTAATTTTAAAAGTATTTTTGCCAATGCATACAAATTTTAAATGGTACTTTGCTTCTTTCTGCAGACTGTACCAAGAGGCAAAACCTTACTGCTGCAAGCAAAGGTAACATTCAAAATGAGCATTTTATTTTTATGTAAGAAAGGACTTTCTTTTCATTGTAGGAAGCCTGCAGAGAATGTTGGTATTGTAAGCAGGCGGTATGGGAAGTGAAGGGAAACTTGTAATCACATCATTACTATCCCATGTTGCTTCCCCTTGTTCACTACACTATTAAAAAAACAACTCTACAGTGATGTTTTCTTGTCTACACATGCATAAAATTGTGCCCTAAATATTTTGTACCATCCTTTATAAGTCTTGTCCTCCATGGTTTTGGTAATGTGGGTCAGGTTGATAAAAATTATGTTTTTCCTTGCAGGAGGAATTCACTGGGTATGATTTTGAGAACAGACTGCATGTCCGCATACATGCAGCGTTAGCCTCTCTGAGAGAAGTGGTCCCCCAGTGATGGACAGGAATCCTCAACTCTTCCTTTCGTACAGTTTGAGTTGTCAGGAAGACCAGCTTGTCTCCAGAGAAACCACCTGTGCCAGAGACCCTTTCCACAACTTGTGGAGCTGGTGACTGGAAAACACGGCAGTCCCCTAAATTCTATAAGGATATAGTTAACCAGAAAGGTGAAGTGATCTTGGGTTCAGTCTGGTGGTAACTTCTCCTGCACAAGCTCTATTTATATAAGTAGAAACTAGGAGTCATACTTAAGTCTTACCCCTGTGGTTCTGTAAGGCTTGTGCTGGAGAACTGCCCCTCCCGTAGAAGTCCTTTTGTTCTAATGCTTTTTGGGATGTGTATTTTATTATGTTTGTTTTTAGCTAACCCGACCTTATTAGGCTGTGATTGTGCAAATGAACCTAATAAGCACATTTTGATTTCCTATAATTATATCACCTCAGTTTCTGCAGATAGATTTATTTGTTCTTTTGTAGAGGGGAACCACCTGTTTATTTGGCATAGTTCTGTGTAATTAATTGTTTCAAACTGTACATAGGCAGAAACAGATATAATTTTATTCCAGAGCCAACAACAACAGAGCTAGAAAGAAACAAGCCTGGCAGACTTGCAGCACAACAAATCTGCTCAAGTTTTCCTTGATCATTCAGCCATGTAAATAACAAAACCAACCCCTGTTAAATTGTGAGAATATTTAGAAATTTTCTTCTATTTTTCAGCCAAATGTTTATTTTTAAATTCTTACTTTCTGTGTTCAATTATCTGTTAAATAGCACTGTGGTCTAATAGTCTTGCCATGGCAAGGCCTTTACAAATTACCCCTCATGTTGCTAAAATTTATGTTAGATAGAACAAGACTTTTGTGGCATTCCGAGCCTGTGGCACCACTTACCTTTATTCCAGTTTTAGAGCTTTTAAAGTAATGTAACAATCTACAATTGCACTCTTTCTGATTTTTAAGATGGTCACACATTATCTTAGTGTTATTTTTTAATGGGTATGGGTTTTTTTTTAAAAAAAAAATTGAATAGCACCTCTTCCTAAATACCTGGCAGTTATATAACTCTGTGAAGCTGGAGTAGTTTACTTTTATTTCGGAGTGGTAATGCCTTACTTTCACTTCCACTAGTTATCGTTCTAAAACTATCTATCTAAATTTGCAAAATGCTGTTATCTTGCTGCACTTCACCCAAATTGATCGGCTTCAGTGTGCTCATGGCAAATCTTTGATCCTGATTCAAAGCTCAGTAGGTTTCCAGAGGACAAGTGGGTTTATATACAAGTGGCAGGGGAATCATTGCTCATTCACTTCAAGCATTGAGTAATACTCCGTATGGCATAGTACATATAGAGCATTCCCCAAATTGAATAGGCCCATTCCTTGGGCTGCCACACATGCGCTGGAACTACTGAGTGCACACTGGAGCTGTGACAGGTAGGCTGCCTCTCTTTACTGTCATGCTAAAAAGCACTTCATGGTTGCTCAGTCTCTAATGTTCTAACAAGAGGTTGACCATCAGGATGTAGATGACAGCTTTAATCCTATAGTCACAGGTTGGGTTATATGATGGTAGTGTTCCCCCACTGGAAGGAGCCACTAGCAGAATGGAATTCCCCTTCCCTTGTGCGTGCTCTTGGTTTGATCTAGAGCACAAGTAGACAGGAGCAGAGGACCAGGGGAATCTGTTGCATACTTGGACTTCCACATGTATAGGAATTAGATCCAGTTCTGTATGCCACGAATACATTTGTTCAGACTTGACTGTCACACTGAGCCTTGATTTTCTTGTTTTGGGGAGTTCCATTTTTAAATTGGCAAGTTCCTGATTTTTGTTGCATTTTACAGATGCAGTGTTTGCTGTCATGTCAGCATGCATATGTTAAAAGAACACAGAATGTGCAATAACTGATTTTGGTCTTTGTGTTCAGTGATCTGTTGGAAAACTTGCAGTGTATGTTCACTCTGTGTAAACCAGAAGTTGTAAAAGAAGAATGGGGTAAGATACCAGTAATAGCAATGCTAGAGCATGCCTGCATTTTCCTTGCATCAGGATGGTTCCTTCCCTAGCTGGCAACCCAGGAAACCAGTGGGCACAGAACAGCAGCAGTAGCTGAATTCTTGTGTATCCATGGACACAAGATACTCTGAGTGTAGATTACAAGGGGCATCCATCTTGCATCTGAAAAATGTAGCCAACTCTAGCAAGGGAATTAATCCTTAGAGGGCAGAAATGTTTTATACTGTGTAGAATTCAATTTTGATTACTAATGGTGAAGTACAGGTAGACAAAATGTACTTGAATTATTTTTCTGCTACAGTCCCTTATTGGTGCAAGCAGTTGTACCCCTCTGCATTTTAGACAGAAACTGCTAATGCTAAACCAGGCAGGCAGCATAGACTGGAGTAGAGAAAAGCTATTTTAAATACATGTGGGCCAGCTTAAAAGACTTATTGATTGTGCACAAATAAATGTGTGAGCAAGGCTGCTAAAGTTAAAAAAATCTTCTACTGTAATTTGGGTCCATAGGAGGGACTCTTCAGAAATATGTATAGATAAAGCTGTAGTGACATGATCTTGGGCCTTTTCCCATCAGTAGGTCTGTTCTGAGATGCATTGCTTTTGCGAGCAAAATAACCTCACCTTGTAGATTGACAATGGCTCAAAAACCACATGCATCCATGTATTCCCCCCACTCTCTGCCCTCTCATGCACACCTCATAGAAGTAATCTCTATATTGCAATTATCAAAGATTTTTATATTAGATTATGCCAGTGATGAGAACAATCTCAACTGTACTTTATGTAATCAGAATATGTTTTTCTACTTTATACCTCGGAGGCATGGTCTAATAGCAATAATAATTACATTCTCATTTCCATTGGTTAATGTATACATACATAAGTATGTATCTTAAAATTACCAGGTCAAGTATATTTTTGTTGTTGTTGATACCTTTTTATTGCATTATAACTTCAAGTGAATAACTGGGATTTTTACATGTCACTTTAGATTGTTTACTGTAGTGTGCTATAAACATTAATTTACAGAACTTGTACTTTTTATATTTCTGCTGAGCACAGTTTATTACAATATTTGGGTTTTCCCCCTTCTTTGTAGTTACCCTTTAGTTCCTTTAGTTTCCTAATGACAAGTATGCAAAGTTTTTGAGGATACCTGGTTGTTGATCGAAGTGAACTGTGTATCCTCTGATGTTATGCAGGAGTCTCTCTCAAACGTTTTTGTCCAGTGCAGCTGCAGGGACTTTGAATCTGATCAGAGCAGGGACTAGGAGGTTCTTAACCTTTTCTTGATCATTATTTCTTCCTCATGATACTGTTGTTTTGTTCTCATGGGAAGCAATAGCTGGCTTTGGGTCTGATTTAGTTCCCCCTCCATGGGTGGGAAAAGAGGGAGAGAGGATTTAGTACTCCTACGCTGATCAGAACTGGAGCCCCATTCTGTATTTGCATTAAAATAAAAACGACTATTGGAAACATACTCCTTGTGTTAGACCTAGTTCACACCAAGGTAGTATACCTCTGTCTGGTTGGTACTACTTTAGTCTACAGGTGAGGGCTAACATGATTGAATGCTTCAAACTTAAAACAAATTTCTTTACATGGAAAACTTGATACCTAATTTTCTAAGTGCAGGCCAAATGTTTGTTTATGTCCTTGACAAGAACTAGGCCCCAGTATTCTTGGCTGCAACTATATCTGTTCTTTCATTCCAGTGTACAAAATACACATGGTGGTCTCAGTTAAGAATGACACATATCATTTAAATTGCTGTTTTCTCCCAAAATCCACAACCTTGAGGGGTTTAACATTTCACTGTAGTCTCTCTGATATATACTGTAGGGTAGGGATGGGCAGCTGCAGGAGGTTGGGAGTTCTTTCCGTGCCCCCTCTTATTTTTCCCCTGCTCAGCAGTTTGCTGCCAAAATGCAGTGGCATACTATATCAGTGGCCCTAAAAGCGTTAAATATTGGGCCCTGCTGAAACTGTCAAATTTATTTTGCATACAAACTAAATTTGAATCTTTTAGCACTCCATTGTTTAGTACTCAAAATTGCTGCTGCTGATTTTGGCAGTGTGGCAGGAGGGCAGATCTACTCTAGGGGAACGCAGCTTTTTAAATGTGTCATTCATAATGGGCTGCTGTGTGTATTTTGCATTTGCATATAGATGTCCAGTTCAGTCTATGAATCAGCTTTCAGTTATGGCTCAGATGAGAGTATTTCATCTATATTCAAAAGAGTTTCATTCTCTTTGTTTTCCATGCAAACGTTTGTACTTTGTTCATTCTAAAACGTGTTCAGTTTTTCTCTGGCACAAACACTGTTCTGCCACCAGTTTGCAATGTTTTGTTTCTTATTCTCTCCACATTTGTTCTTAAATAAAATCTATGCTACTTTGTTCTGACTTGGTGTCTTCATTTAAGAATACCATCCTGACATATCCTGTAATTACTTGTGCATCTGTGCATTAGGAAGGTTGTTCAATCAAACATGTAGAAAGGGTTTTTTGTTTTTGTTTTGTTTTGTTTTTTTGTACTCTGCAAATACATCAACAGAAGCTAGTGCCACAGATGAATAATATTTACAGAGCCATTTCATGTTCTTGGGGGAGCGTCCCAGGACCCATAGAATATAGTGTATTCTCTCTCATAAGTCCATCAACATTGCTACAACCTTGAGAGAGGGGGAGTTAGAGATCAGATTGTTCCCCATGGTCCTACCCCTTCCCCTCACAGGTGCTGTGAAAAGCATGGGTGTGGCTGCTGTTCTGACACTGCAGTGGGTTGGCAAGGACAGAGTCCAGGATCCTAAGCCTCTGCATTGCCCCTCTTGTACACAGGGTAGGTCGGCTAGATGAGCAGTTTTCAGTTCTGCCCTCCTCCCAGTCTTGATTTCTGCTAGCAGGACATAGGACAATCCGGGAATAGGTAGGATGGTGCCCATAAGCTCCATTGTGCTTCCAGACTTTTTCTTGGCACCCACCAAGATGTTCTACCATTCCCAACATTTTTTAATTAATAATTTTTCTTATTGGTGGCTAGGATTGTTGTGAAATAGATTTCTGTTGGTGTTAAACTGTGGATTCAACTCAGTTGTTTAGTGTGCTGCGGCTCAGGCCTCACCTCTGTCTTTTCAGTCTTTGAGCGGCTTTATTTGTCCTTTGCCATGCCTCTTATGGCAGCCATTTTGTGGTGGTACCCACAAATTTCTCAAATTGCCCAAAGTAGGGCAAAGGTCACCTGTCTCTATAATAGATTAACACCTCTCATATTGAGCGCATTTTGAGCAGCACTCCCTTAGGATAGCACTCTTAAATTTTAAAAGTCCTGAGTATAAAAAAGTAATAGCATTTGTGCATTAACAGTGTTTAAATCAAGAGTATTTTGGAGTAGTCTTCCTGAGTGCAAAGAAAGTATTCTGGCTTATGGACAGCATTGGATTCTGTTGAAGAATTTTGGGCTCTGCATTTGTGACTCACAAAGTTCAGGAAAAGCACTCCTCCATCTGGAGTGCTAGACTCTTGCCAAGCAAGGCAGATCTCCCTTGACAGAACATGGTGGATAAATTTTTTGTGTGGTTGATATCTATGTTTGACCTAGAGAAGAGTTTTCCTTTGTATATGAATAGGGTGGGATGCAACAACCCTGTCCCAGATAGTCTGTGATGAGGTCTGAGGTGGGATTCTAAGTGCTTTTCTGATTATGGGGAGGAGTCTGAGTGTGTCCCTCTTAATGTGTTGGCCTTCATGCACTCTGGTCAGGAGGAGGACATTGGAGACAGTGCTTGAATGGCTGTAGATGACCTTAGAAAATAGATCCTTTCCAACTTAGGTAGGATGTAATCCTATGCATGTTTAGACAAGAAAATCCTACAATTCCCAGACCAGTCTTGGTGGTTGAGGCATGATAGAAGTTGTAGGGCTTTTTCAGCCTAAATATGCCTAGAATTTTTCACCCTTAATGAACTGAGAAAATTAAAACACTAGTATGCAGAAGGAATTTGAGACTTTATACATTTCAAGTAGGGAAGAGACAGTTTGTATGCAATGCTAGAAGTACTTCAGTTAAGTCCATTGAAGTGAATGGGGCTTTAGTTGGAGTACTTATAGTTTGCTTGGATGGAGGCAAATCCTTCAAATAATGATTGACTGCCCCCTGTCTCACATAGAGTGATTAATTTTTATGCTGGTAAAGTACAAAGCCAGGTTTCTTAAGTCATGGAATCAATGATCTACTGGAACCAATTAGCCTTTGTTCATTTAAACTGTGTTCAGTGGGTCTACTATGTTTGGATTCAGTCCTATGCATTTACTGGGTCTGAGTAAAATGCTCAAAGTGATTTGCACCTCTGATATTAATGAGGGAAGAAAAATGTTCCTGTCACTTTAACCATCTGTAGAAACAGTCCACAGAAATGTGTGTGCATGAACAAATGCGTATCTGTGTATGAACACTGTTTATAGAGCAATTCTAAATTACATGCAGGCAGGATACAAAATTTTTGATAAATTTAGGCGAAACGTATATTATTAACATCCGTGGTTCTTTTCACCCAGTGCACATCTCTTGCACTATTTAAATCTTCATATTTGAAACGTGTACTGTGCCGTAAAATCTCCCCAGTCGCATGTTACCCTCTGCGTACAACCTAGGACTGGTTGCAAAAGGAGAGGCGTATCTTTTCTGACACTTGGGTAAGCCCGTCTTGTGTGGAACAGCTCTTGTTCCTTTACTGTATACCTTTACCTGGAAGAGAATTGGCCGGGAAGGGCTAGATGGCCGCGGTGTGGACCGATGCTCCGGAAGACACGCGCACAGGCGAGCAGGGTATGTCAGCGATGACCGCGCCATCTCGTGCTGCCGGCCAAGTCGGGGTCCACGCGGCCCTTTGTGACCTCACAAATGCGTGCGCTCCAGCCCGCCCACCAGGAGCTCCTTGACATAAAAGGCCCGCCGGGCGCCCTCCCGCCTCCAGAGGAGGCTCCGGCAAGGGGCGAAGAGGAAGCGCTCGCGCCGCGACAGGCGAAAGACTGACAAGAAAGGTCGGCGGCGTTTCCAGCATGCTGGCGACTGAGAGGCGCTCGGGGGTCGCCCTGTGGCGCACGCGGGCCGCGGGAGGGGCCGCCCCTGGGCGTCTGGAGGGGCGGGTGGGCAAGAGTGCTGGGTTCTGCAGAGAGGGAGCAGCGGCTTGGGAAGTCACCGAGCGGCCGGTGGGGCATGGAGCTCGCGCTGCTGCGCGCGGACGACGCGGGGCCGGGCATGGATGGGGAGCCGTTTCGTAGCCGCCAAGCGCCTCGGAGGAGAGCTCCCTCACGCGGTGCTCACGGGAAAGGCGTTCCTTATCTGCACAGTCCTTAGAAAGCATTGGACAGCAGCCTGGGTTGGCGTAAGGCGGGGATAGTATCCTATCCAGTGTAGTACTAGCATCGCTTCGTCAAGTAAAGGTGGAGCGAAAATTTGGTCGAAGCGTGCAATCCCCAGGGATAACCTACTGGGCAAGGGCCAGAACAAAATATGTCCACCTGCTTTTCTTTCCTACCCTTTCTACCGCCCTCTTGTCTCTCTTCCTGCTCAGGAGGCTGCCAGAGAAGGCACCGCTTGCCCTGCCTGGCCAAGAGGTCTGAACAGTAGGTTTGCAAGGGCTTACGAAACTGAGCAGAGGCCATATTTTAACTAGCCATATTCTATCTATGCTTGCCTGTATTTATTTGTTACACTTATAAAGAAGCCCAGGACAGTGTACACAAGCTTCCTTCCCTCCATTTTATCCTCATATGAACTCTGTAAGGTGGGTTAGGGTGAGAGTTAGTAACTGGTCAAGTGGGGATGAGAACCCTGATTTCCTGAAATGCAGGCCTTCAGTCTAACCATTATACTATACTGGCTTGTCTACCAGGTGCTTGAAAAAACAATTTGAAATATACTTTTAAAGGATTGCTCCTAGGAAGAGTTATGTCAGGAATTCAAAACAAGACTAGTAAATCATAAAAGCACATAGCTGTATTTCTGAAACTTGAGCACAGCCTATGCTCATCCTGAAAAATTTAGTTCCCACATAAACACTAAATAGGGTTAAACAAGTAATTTGTAAAAGTCAGTGGGACAGTGACAGTAGGAAGACTAAGATCTCCCCTCTTAGTCAATGGCATTGTGCCCAACCTGGAGCCCTGTAGAAGTTGAGAACTTCAACTCCCATTACCCTTAGTCAGCACAGCCAGTGGCCAGGAGTGCTGGGAGTGTGTAATGGCAGGGCCCCGGGTGGAGAAGGCTTGATGAATGGCAGCACAGTAAAAAATATCTGTCCTAGCCATGTTTACTTGCAAAGAAGTCCTAGTCTGTTTGCCAGAATTTGTTCTTTATGTAGACATAGGATTCTGGCCTAAACAATGAAACATTGGCTTTGAGACTGTGAAAAAGCCTTCTGCTTAATGTGCAAACTAATCAGGTATCTGATAAGTGGCTTTTAGATGCATCAAAGGTCTCATGCTTGTGTAGAAAGAAAAAAGTCCTGTGTTCCCAGCATTTCCATGCTTAGAGTTGTAGAACCTTTTTCTGCCTAATCGTGCATAGGATGGTAGCCTAAAGCTGTGTGTGGTTAACTTGAATCATGGATATATATGTGTGTTTAGAAACATAAAAACAGAGCGAGTCAGAAGGGGCCTCCCAGCTCACAACATGCCCACCACACGACATTTGCACACACACGCGCACACACACACTGTCTGGAAGCTGGTAGTATAGTGGTATATTTTGAAATATGGTAGTATGCATCTGTTATGGGAGTTAATTACACAAGGCTTTAGGTTACAACTTAAACAGGTGTGATTGTGTATGATATTATACAATATTGTTGCAAGTGTATAAGGCTTCAGCTAAAGATTTCCAGGAGATTATTTTCACAGCACCAGGAAGAAACAGTTTATCTCAAAGTCAGCTAATGGGTCTAGTGGGTGGTCCCTTAAAAAGCAAGCCACTCCAAAACAAATTGCATTACAGCAGAGATAAGTCGCAATAATATATGTATGGGAACATCCATACACACTAACTGCTATAAGGATTGCAGCTCACCTTGAGCAACAGAGAAGCCCCTGTGCTTGGACATTGTGACCCCTGCAGAACTGTTAAGTGCTGCCAAGTCATCTGTGATTTATGGTGACCCTATGAAGGAGAGCTCTCCAAAGTGTCCTATCCATGACATCCCTGCTTAGCTGCTCTAAATTCAAGATTACAGCTTATTTTAAGGAGTCAAATCCATCTTATGATTGGGTAACAACACTACTAGAAGATAATGGCAAGACCTCCACTTCTTCAATTTTTGTCAGGTGCTTGGGATGTTTGCTGTTAGTTAAACTGAGCTTTGCAGGCAAAAAAGCCAAATTACTTATTGAGACAATTTACCCTCTTTGGAATTAGCAGCTGATTAAATTGGCCTTTCATACTTGTTCTGCTGCCTCAAATGAACTGATAAAGCAGCCTTCACTAATACGGTGCCTATGGATTTTGGGGGGTGACTTTCAGCATGCCTGACCTTTGGCCATTCTGGGACCAGTGACATGAAGATTTATATATGCAAGGTTTCACTTACCCCTAACCTGCAGCCCTGAAAAAAAGTCTTGTGGGGCCTGTGAATCCATTCTGATCAGGAATGATCCACTTTGAATAGGCTGAATCCTGACCCCTCTCCATTCCAACAAGGGTAGACTGCAGAAATGACAGGATATTTCTTCATACAGTTTCCTTTCCTTCTAGTGGTGAAATTGAAGTTTCATCTTCAATCAACTAAAATGCATACTGCAAAGCCCAGGATGGTGGTTCCTTATGGCCTGAAGACTCTGCTTGAGGGAGTAAGCAGAGCTGTTCTCAAAGCCAGCCCCTCCAACATCACTGAGTTTGCTGCTGTCTATTTCAGGGAGCTGATAATTTTTCGAGAAGGTTTGCATTAACTTTTTTTAATGGTGTTAATGGCACAATCATATTCATCTTTAAGGCAAAAAATGTTCTCCAGTTTCCAGCTAACTGGGGTATGTTGGAATTTCTTGAACTTCTTTCTGGCTAAGCATGCCTAGGATTGACCCTGAGTATTAGTTTATAGAGCAATATATTAGCCTTTGGGTATAGCATTATCACCCCACTGGGTCCAATGAGTAAATTGTTAGCAATAATACCAACATCCCTTTAATGACCTTGTAATAATCTCAATATAGACTAATTGACTTTCTCAACTTTTCTTTCCAGAACATCCTAATTTGGACATTAAAGACCTGGTGAGGGAATTCCATGCCACTAGAGGTATGAAATTTGCAGTTAGAACAAGGATTTATAGGGAAGAACAATTGTGTGTCACCTCTGATTTTTTAAAAAAATATGATTCTGAGCACATGCAGTACCACAGTTTTACTTCCCTTTGATCATACCACTATTGTTGGCACAGGAGTAATATGGAGTTTCTTTTTCTTGCCCTCATAATAAACACAAGTACCTAGGAACAAGGATCATTTTATTGTAGACAATGACCATTTTCAGCAGCAATAATAAGCGATCATTCCATATATATGCCTGGGGCTATAGGCCTGGGACTATCAGCAGCCTGCTGATTATAACATGCTTTTACAAATAAGAGGAAAAAATACTGAACCAAGCTACAGCTGCACAGGTGGGTCTTGGCATGCATATCCCAGACAAGGTGCTGATGTCAGTTTTGCTACTACTTCTGAATTACCTGTCATACTCTGGTCATTTGTAGGCTTCAGGGCTTCCCCAGTGCAGGGAAAGAATGCTTTTTCCAAGGTTACTCATTTTCCCACTGGAAATGTTTGTAGTCTCTTTCTTCCCAGAATGAGTTAAAATGGCAGGGGTGAGGGTAATTTTTCAGCAGAAAAATGGCACTGGAGCGAAGTGACAGAAGTTTCATTTTCTACCATTTTCTTCCACACAGATTGCCACATTATGGTTGTATTTACTTTTAATGGCTCTAAAAAAATAGGCAATGTCATATTCCCTTTCCAAACAAAGGATCTACCCAGGCCTTGCCTTCTTATAGCAGGCAGAGACCTTTTTCAGCCACTACTGCTGCTTTTTTTACTTTTACTCGTATGTTTAAACCTGTGTTACAAATGTTTCTTCTTCCAGGTTTCATCTGCTTTATTTGTATCACCTTTATTGAGATTATTTTCAAATCCTTGTTTGTTATGTGTTTTCATTGTTTTGGGTATATTTGTTTGTATTATGTATGTCACCTTGACAGCTTTAGCTATAGAGCATTTCATTCATTGCAGCTACAGTGGATTTGGAGAATGTTTTGAACAGAGTAAGACTGCCTCCCCACATGCATGCACACACATAAACCAGTTCTTTGATAGGTGCACTTTTATTCATAAAGGTTAAGGAAGAATTGTGTAGAGAAGCTTGTTCAGTTTTTTAAAAATCTGATGCTTGTGGTAGGTTTAGATGAAGCCTAGAAATCTAGTGTTGACTTTTTTAGGAAAATGTAAAAAAAAAATCTTGATTCTCCAAAGAAAAAGCTGGAACGTGGTTAAGATATGTGCCTTCCTGTAATTCCTGGGATACTTCCTGTGTGTTTGCAAGTTGGCTCCTTTGCAGGGCAAAGCCCTCTTCCTTATGCCCAGGGCTGGAGACCAGAATAGGCATGCTTGGGTACCTGTGGAGGATCCACATCCCAGCGGGGTCCTACTGACAAGAGCCCCCTGGACTTGCTCCACCACCTCGCTGTGTGCTTGTTCACCTGCCTCTCACTCTAGGACAGACAGTGGTGATGGTGGGGAGGAGCAGGAGCAGCAGCAGCAGCAGCAGATGGCAGTGGCTACTTGCTCCCTGGTTCTTGTCCTATCAGTCAGTGAAGAGTAGCAGTGATGAGAGCAAGAATGATGCTCAATGGTGGCTGGTGAAAATGACAATAAAATGGTAGACTTATTCATGGAGGGTGGCCCATTGAGGGTGTCTTATCCAAGGGCCCTCAAAAGCCTGGAGCCACTGCTGCCTATGCCACGTGCATTTCTACACCAGGACATAATTGTGGGGCAGATGGGGGAGTGAGTCAAGAGAAGGACAGTGCAGAATTTGCTAGCTTTAGGTAGGTGGCTCAAGGAACCGTGCAGAAGGCTAGGGCTGTCCTGTTTTGGTAGAGGTGGATCTAATCATGGAACAAGGAGTTTACTGCCCCACACCTGTGACCTTGTGCAAGGCTGCATTTCCTTGGGAATGCAGCAACAATCAGACCTCTGCTTTGTATATTTGTACAATTATAAATAATTTTCTTTGGTGGTAAAAGTGAAATCCAAATTATAAATTTAAAGAGAACTTTGAATTTTTTAGAGAACCACCATACATTTTCTTACAGCAGCTGGCTGCTGCCCTAAGTCCAGGAGCTCTTTGTCTGGTGTGGCAGCATCATTTTCAGTATTGCCCACACAGTGATGCACTGAGAATTCCCATGAGCAAAAGACTTTTCAATGCCTAGCAGTCAGACACACTCCCCTGCAATAAAAATGTAGAAAATTGCCTCAACTCAAGCTCTTAACTAGAGGAGCCAGTTGGTGAAGACCCCCTCCCTTTGCAAAGGATTTTTTGCGGTCACTTGTGAGATCTTAGCTGGCTGGATCATTGACTGAGCCAAGCCAGCCAATCAGATTCAGAAAATAGGAGTCACAAAGGAAAAGCGAGTACGTTTGTGAGTGTGTGCATGTTTGCCTTACTAATTGTTGGACCTGATGACCTTTTGACCCCTTCCATTTCTACTATTCTATGATTCTTTCTTCCCTTGAGGAGCCAGCCCAGCACAATTCCTCTTGCTCTATTGGTTAATGTGGATTATAAATTCAATAAATAAATAAATAAACGTTCAGTTAAATAGGGTAGGTGGGAAGGAATGAGTACATTTGTGAATGTAGCTTATAATTGTTTTGTGAGAGTGGAAAGAAGAAAAAGACTTTGGAAAGCCTGGTGTATTGGCTGGGGTCGAAAGAGCTTTATGCCTGGAACCAGGTGCTGTCTTGTTCTGAATTCTCCCTTCTGCTGTACTTTATTACATATAGTTTCACAATATCTCCTGACTTGCTGGACCAATTGGAGGTGCAGGGGGAACTACAGAAAGCTGGGGGCTGGGTACAAGAATGCTGCAGAAGTTCCATTATGTATATTAGTGTTCTGATCATAGCTTTTTGAATGCCTCCCATTGTCAAGTCAGAAGCTGTATGAAAGAGGTCTCAATAATTTGAATAGTTTTTGCTCACCAGCTGGGCACTGTCCAGAAATCTTGGACTACAACTCCCAGCATTCTTGACCATTGCCTATGCTGGCTGGAGAGGGTTGGAGTTGAAATTAACACATCTGGAGGACACCAGGTTAGGGGAGGAACCTTTAACTTACAGGCTTACTATAAAAATCACAGCACTGAGAATTAGCAGAAGATTTACATGGAGCTTCCATCCTGAAATCTTCACACAGAAGATCTATCTTTGTGATAAAAGCAAGGTTGGATCCACACTTATATTTGGCATAGGCACACTGAAATGAATGGAGCTTGAGTTTGGCATGGTTAACTTCAGTCACAGTGAATTCAGTTGGTATAATTTAACCCTTAACTGAGTGCAGTGGGATCACATCCCAGTTCACTGTGTCAAGAATTGCAGCCCAAGTGTGAAAATGGAGTCAGAGAAAGTTGGTGGAGGCACAGTGCTTTTGCAGTGCTACCTTTGTTGACTCCTCACTGTTCAGTCATTTGTCACTGGGACTTGCAAAGGTGAGGACATTTTGCATCAGATGTATGGATCTGTCAGTCTCGTTGTTGCTGCAAAACTCAGATTTTCAGGCTGATGCTTATTCCATCCTATTTCTGCTTAAGTTTGTGAGTTTTTGTTCTTGTTCTTTAAGATACTCTGCACCAAATTCTGCACTTGGGTTTTGTGCATTTTACCCAAATGTATTGGTGCTCTGTTTGTATTTTTCAAACATACACATTTTCTAAGTACTTTTCACTGATTTAACACAGTTTCTCTGTGCATTTTATGTGCACTTTCTACTGATAAGCATATCTTTAGTGCATATTTCCCTCCCAGATTGTGTCGCCAAACTTGGAAAGGTATGGATTTCAGTACGCAGCTCTATTTTGGCTTGCTTCTTGGCTTGGGAGGAGCATATTTTTTCACAGATCTCAACAGGACAAATTTATCACTCAGCCCTAGTCTTAGAATCTCTGGATAAAAATAAATGACATTGCCCAACCTTGCAAGGTTGCAGTGCCTTTAAGGCTGATGCAGTAGAAATGGCTGTCATGCAAAGGATGCTTCCTGTGACTATGGCTAAGTGGCAACCCATTCTGGGCATCTCCTTAGCATGAAGGTTGGGAGGTTTTCTTCTCATAGTCCTGAATGTTCTCAGCATCTTAAGCATTTTAAGGATTTTACCATCTTGTCCACAAGGTTCTCATAAGAGGTCTGGAAGGAGGAAGAAGACAGCTTTAAAGAGAAAGCTTGTTGACTTTCTCTTTCTTCCTTCTTCTGCAGTGGAGGGATGGGCTGAAGGGACAGCTGCAGCGACCCCCGTACCCCGTTCCAAACGGGCTGATGTTGGAGATGCATTTCGATCAGACTTAGATACGACTCCAATTTCTGATGAACCCAAACGGAAGGAGAAATCTACCGACACAGAAGAGGACCAGATAAATGAAGAGCCTCAACGTGAACTGAGCACCAAGACAACCCAATATCCGTCAACTGTTGATGAATTTGTAGAAAAAGCTGGGGACGAAAAGGGAGCTGGTCTCGCCTACGTACCAGCTGATCCAGCCCAGCTAGCAGCACAGATGCTAGGTAACGTTGAAATGATTACTTCTGAGCCTGAATTGAAGGACGTGGCAATATCTGTGCAGACCCTTCCTACGTTGTCTCACAGTGCAGAGAATATTGCAGCTACCCTGGCACCTGCCCCAACCCCTGAACCCATACTGGCAGAAGCAGCTGCTGAAGAAGAAGCAGAACCTGCCCCAGCAGAAGCGGAACCAGAACCTGCCCCTGCAGAAGCAGAACCAGAACCTGCCCCTGCAGAAGCAGAAGCAGAACCTGCCCCTGCAGAAGCAGAACTTGCCCCTACCCCTGCAGAAGCAGAACCAGAACTTGCCCCTGCAGCTTCTGTGCAGTCTGTCCAGGTGGGGTCAGCCACTCAGAGCCAGACCTCCGCTCCTGGGGAGGCCGTTACCTCAGGCAGTCAGGCTGAGCTACCTCCCGCTGACATAGTAGAGCAAACTTCCTCCGTCCCCTTGCAGGAAGAACCACCCCCACCAGCACCACCACCTCCTCCTGATAATGACCCATTGCAGGCTGAACCTTGCCCAAGTGAAATTGAGCTCACGTCAGACATACATATCACACCCATGTGCGATGAAGACCCTGAGGCTGGTGGAGAGCCGCCGCCGCCGCCTTATGTAGAGCAGTTTCCACAGCAGATAGTCATTCCTTTCGTAGACACGGTAGCATGTCTCTTAGATCCGCTAACCACTTCGCTAAATGCAGGCCAGTTTACTAGTATTCTAGATCCATCTGCAGATGATGCAGAATGTGACCCTGACAAGGTGGATACTACCGAGCAACTGAGATCAGCTGACCCAGGTTTTATTATGTCAGGTAAGAAAGTCAAGCTATTTCTGAAACCTGCCTATTCCATGTTGTAATATTGTAGCTCCATAAGTAACAAGTCGCCCCATCTCCTCAGGTGCACTTCCACTGGTGGGAGCCCAGCTGGAACTGGTAGAACAGGGGTGGGTGCCTCGTGGCCCTCCAGAGATTTTGGCCTACAACTCCTGTTGATCCTTGCTGCTGGCTATGTTGGCTAGGGCTGGTGGGAGTTCTAAGCTGAGGCACTTGGAGGGCCACAAGCTGCCCGCTTCAGTGACTGGGCTTATGCCAGGAGAGGGCCTTGAGGACTGGAGCCTTAATTATTTAAATGCAATTATCCATGCCAGTGCTGTGTTGTGGTAAATGATGTGTTGATCTTGTTTTGGTGGAGTTACGGTCACACAGCACTTGCCTAGCCCTATTGTGCATATGTGGAATTTTGCCCATAGGTTGCTTCCAGGTGTGTGGTTGATTGTGAGTAACCCTGTCAATGGCCTTGCATGAATGTTCCCTGCCCCAGTTTCCTGCCCATGTCGTGTGTTCTTCTTGTTAACAGATTGGCAGGGCAGGACAACACTCAGCAAAGGAGCTGTGAGGTGTGAAGGCATATTATAAGTTTTGGCCTTTCTTTAAACAGTTAGCCTTTCTCACATGAGACTATGCATCTTGAACCCAAATTACATACGTGCCCATGGCAGCTAAAGGAGAGTGATGTGACTGACTGCGACTTGGTGTCTTTAAAAAAAAACACACCTCAGACATGGCATTAGCACTGGGTTTTTGCATTTAAAGAAATGGTGGTGGTTGCCTGCGTTGTTCCCTTAGGTCCACTTTTCTCCAGATTGCTTACAGAGAGTGGGCTAAGCACATCTTACTGAAAAACACAGAACTTCTTATACCTGGAGGCCAGGTGTTCCTTCATGATGTGACCTGTCCAATTACTTGCCCTCACTCAGTAATAAGTGTGTAGCCCACCTCTGTTTTCAGTTGGAGACGTTCTGCTAAACACCTCTTCTTTACCATTGACTTGGTCTGTGGTCACACAGTCGCCCCTGAGACAAATCCCATTAGAGAAGTACGTAGGTCAAAAAATAAAGGCATGTTACAGAAGAGAGAAGGCTGAAGGGGTAAAGGTGTGCAACAAGTTGGCATATCTGGACAGGAGGAGCAATAGCCAGACTTGTAAATGATGAGGCATTTTCAAACCCTGGTCTTTGGGGCATCCCTGCCAAGCTTCAGAGATTAAGTTGTAATTCTGATGCTTTGGATTGATTTCAACATTTTAAAAAGCTAGGTACTTGAGCTAGGATCTGACAGCCACCCTCTTCCCACCAGACAGGTTTGAAGCAATGCAGTGGCAAGAGGGCAGTCGTGCAAATTTGCGTCAGGGGAACCAATGCGCAGTGGGATGGGGTGAGGTGACTGTCCCATTTTGGGCAAGACTGGAAAACATAGCAGTGGAGCTTGTGTGCTGAATTCTCCCCAGCAATTAATTCCAACTGAAATGTGGTGACTGCGCATCTTTAACCACCAGGAGGGGGAAAAAGAGATCCACTCTTTCCAACCAACCAACCAAACAAGAATTTAGAAAAATCCCTTTTCACTCTGTGCTCCAACTGCAGCACTGCCCCTGTTCCTACATTTCAGCCATGCCAGACTGAAAAGCCATCTTTTGCTTTCTAGGCCTCTCTCCTCTCTGTAACATGCTTTCTTTTTGCGGCATAAAGTTGTGTGTAAGGATATGCAATATGACTGCAGTTGGTGCATCCTAGTAGATGGTCTTTCATGCCAGCAAATTTTCTTCAAATTTTTATTTTATAGCCATGGCAACAAGCGAACCAGGACAGCCACCACCATATTCTAATGTGTGGACTCTCTATTGTCTAACTGATTTGAAACAACAAGGTCGTAAGTCACCACCACCACCACCACCCCTTCCACCTGTTGGAACTGGTGCTCCTGTTCCCCAGGCAACCCTATTCATATCTAGTGGTAAGGACCAACCGCAGTATCTACAGCCGCAGATGATACAACACGGTCAACCACCACAAGTGTCCTCTCCAACTTATGTGATGATGGAAGATGGGAAGAAGGGAAGTGCACCACCTTTCATTTTAGTGGGCTCTTCTGTTCAGAATAAACAGGACTGGAAACCCATCCCTGGCCATGCTGTCCTCACGCAGCCGGATGCTGCTGGTACTGTGAGGAGGTTCGCTACGATACCTGTCCCAGTCGCCAGGGCAGCGGATCCGAAAATGGCCAACCCCAATTTTAATCCTGCACAGGATAGCGGCAGGCCTCCAACTCCAGTTTTTCTTTCAGTTGCCATACCACTGGAAGATGTGATGAATGGGAAGAAGGGTTCAGGAGCTGGGGATAAAGCACCCTTTGCAGGCAGCTATGGTATAGCAGGAGAGATCACATTTACTACTGCCTCAGTACGCAGGACAGAATAGTAGAAAGGTAAGCAGATGGAGTAACATGTTTGTTGTCTTGGCAAAGAGGCAAGTGGCGTGATACAGTTCTGCACATCAGTAAAGATGGAGAGGGTTGGCTTCAGATGTAAAACTGGATCAACTGAGCAGGTGGAAGCAGCTGACACTACTTTCTACTTCCCAGGCAAGCCCAGATAATGCTGGAGTCAGGAGCCCTGCCAAGTGGGCGAGCTGTGGTGATGGTGGTTGGGGCAACTCAGAACTGGGTGGAGGGAACCACTATGACAGCAAATTCTAGCCCCAACCTGGACATTATAATGGGTATGCTTAAGAGGGTTAAATAGAGATACATTGTATAATGGGCTACACCCTTAGCACTTTACAACAATCACTTTGCGATCAAAGAAGGCAAAGAACTATGTACAGAGTAACTGAAGTATTTTAAGGATTCCTCTAGCCTCTTGAAAGATAGCACAGTATTTTGAAAGGCGATTGGGGTAAAAACTGCTACTAGGAAAGTAACACACCTCAGTGGCGGGCATGCTATTTTCTTAAGGTTTTCACTTTGGGATCTGTGAACAGGTCTGTAGGTTGTTTTGTGTTATTTTTTTTAAGCTAGGCGACTGCTGATAGGAAGCCTAAAATTATATTACAGACTTCTCTGGATGATAGTCTCTTAACTAAAACCCCACTGTTTTCAGTGGGATGCTTTCTTGGGTAATAACATGCTTGCCTTTATCGATCCTATACTCACCTAGTCCTGAATAGGCATATACAGGATTATACCATTAATTCCATTCATTGAAATTTAGCAGGGAATTGAAAGTTTGAAGATTGGCTATAAAGCCCCATCTGTTGCTGAATCCCATCAGGCATTTTAGCTTAAGAGAGAGAATTTAGTGCATGGAGAATGTAATTGCACATGCAGTTCCAAGCTGTACACAAGTATACTTAGAAAACCACCTAAATAATCTCCCACAACATTGTTAGCCCTCTTGACATTTTATTAACTTGCTGTGTATAGTAAAAGCAAAGATGGAATAGACCTCTATTCCAGCATCCTCCTGTGTTGCTATGAGGAGTCGGGAGAACTCCTGAGTTGGTCTCTATGCTGAGTATTGTCCAGAGAGCACGGCCTATCCTCCACTGCCTGTCCTGCTCTCTCACCTTCATAGACTTGCATGCAGTAACCCATATGCAGTTCCTTATTGCTTAAATTCAAGGATGTATATAGACACATGCTCCCAGAAGCCCGTTTGCATGCACATATGAAGTGTGGTGCAGGTGCTTTAAGACAGACATTTAAAACTTAATTAGTTGGGTGAGAGTATCTTTTCAGAAGCAAAGTAGTGAGCAAATTATTATTTCTAAAATGTTAGTATCTGATAAGGACTGAAGAGATACTGTTGGTTTCATTTTGGAGCATGAGCTTGGCCAGCTTCTGAGATAGGGGTTTGTAACTTCCTTTTCTTTCATGTAACATGCTTGTTATTAGAGAGTGGTATGACATAGAACTATGTTGAAGGGCCACAGAATAAATGATGTAAAATGTCAAGCTTGCAGAACAAGTTGCCTTAGAGCAGAGATTTTCTCTCTGGTGTTGTGTGTGAAAGATAAAAGTAGATTTTTTTTGTGAAACTGCTAGTAGGTCATAGTAATTCCTAGGTTTTGTACAGATTTGCTAAAGAATACAATAGGGTTCTTTCCTAAACTTGGTTTCTGTTGAAAAACCTCTGGAATCCATTATGTATTTATATTGTCCCTTCAACTCCAGGGGAAAAAAGGTGGCTTGCATCATGCTCTCCCCACTTTTACTTTGGCCTCACAGCAACCCAGCAGGGTAGACTAGGCGGAGAGTCATTGATTGGCCCAGAGTCACCCCGTGAGCGTGTGAGACTGGAGTCCTCCAAGTGCCAGACCAGCATTCAAACTATTAAGCTACTCTGGATCTCAAGGGTAGCTTTCCTAATGTGGAACCTGCAGGATGTGTTGGACATGCTGACTGGGGATGATGGATGTTGTGATCCCAAACAATATGGGAGGTGCCCCATTGTAGAAGGCTGGTGTAAATGGACATGTTCCATGGTGCTGAGAATTGATTGCATAGTATACTAGGGTGTGGTAGAATAGCCAAAAATGAAGGAGTAATAGAAAATTAAATGAATGGAGGAAGAATTCAACGAACTCTACAGTGCTAGTGTTTTAAAGTCACAGCAGTTTTCCGAAAGTGTGGCTGTATTCCCACAGCTGTGATGTGGAAGGTGCAAATGCAGTCGGGGTGGTAGCAGATGAGATTGATTTAGCCACAAGGTATGCAGAGCTATTCACTGGTTGTGGATCATTTAATGCAGCTGCATTGTATTATAGCAGCTTTATGACAAATTATGGTTCTTCTTTTAACAATCCATTGAAACTGAACAAATAGTTGAACAATTAGCTTTTATACAGTATGGCATCTGAGGCTTCATTAGGTCCCTTCCTTTGGGAAATCAAGCCATGAATAGATGTATCAGACAAAAATGGTTATAACACAACACACACACTTGGAGGTAGTTTACAAGTATCATGGGGCAGGGCTGACGCCTCCCCGCACCCCCAAGTGATCTGCACTGGATTGATTTTAGCTAGTGAGGCCACATTCCCTAATATTCTTTGGTCTCTGACTGGAGGAGGCAGCCTGTGCCAGGGAAAGCTACACCTAAGCCTCAACCAAGACACCAGCAGGAAAAACGTTAGAGGATATTGACTGAAAGTAGAAGAATGAGCATGCAGGAAGCAGGTGGTGTGCCTGTTCATTCCTGTTTGGCCACAGCAATTCTTCAGAGGTTAAACAGTCCAGGAATTGCCCTTATGTGTGAGCAAGGTCAGTAAGACAGCTCCTTCTCTCTTCCTGTAAGAGGCAGTTCACAGCATGTACAACCTTATTTATACTGTTCTGAAGGATAGGCTTTACTACTTAAGACCCGTTGCTAACTTTACTGAGTTGGTGTTTTTCCCTCCCAGATTGAGAAGCGGTGCTGTCCAGCATTTCACCCCAGAATGGAAACCTGCATCTTTAATTTTAAAATTAATTAGCTAGTACAGCAATAAAGCAATGCAAGCAATCTGAATCCGAAGGCTTGTGTGTGTGTGTGCATAACACCAATTTTTAGAGTTTAAGAGTGGTAGCCAAGTAATATGTAACTAACATTGGCCCCTTTCCTTATTTTGACCCTTTGTACAAGTGAAAAAAATAAAAAAGATGGCTTCTCATTCCATTCATAGGATGCAAGCAAGCCTCCCAGTTTGGAGGTTTACTTGCACCAGGGTCATAGGGCATTGGATTCCACCTTTGGTTTCTTAGGTTGTCTGTAGCCATAGGTCTTGTAGCCTGGAGACTTGATAAGGTACATTGGGAGGCAGATACCCAGCATGAAACAATGAAAATTTAAATAATGTCTTATATTCAGAGTTGTTACCTTTTTCACTCATGAGATCCAGTCACTGTAGGCCCTTAATGGTTTTGAGGGGTACTGGAAACACGTTCGTGCATGGAGGATGGAAACAGAGCTAATACAGAGCTTCCTTATACCCAGTGGCTTTCCAAATTTGTAGGAATACAACTCCCATTACTATCATTCAGTATGGCCAGCTTGGAGAAAAGGAAGTTTTGTTATTGAGGATAATGAATAAAAACATCACGAGCCATTGGACAGTTTAAAGCTTTTATTTAATAGTAATTAAATATTCAGTTAACAGTATACTTCCAAACAGCAATTAAATTACGCAAGAGCAGCAAGCCCTCTGGAGTTCATATACTCTGTTTTATACAAATATATAATCCCATAAAGTTTAATGTACCCCAAACAAAGGGGTAAATCTGCTGTATACAGTAATCTCAGAGCTGCCTTACTGGCCTTTGAAATGCACACAACCTCCTTCAAGAGTTTGCTTCTGACAGCCAATGATCAGGTGCATTTGAAAGATATCATCCTTTTGCTTAGGAAAATTGCCTACCACCCCTACTTCTGACAGTGCTGGGTACTTCTTAGTGCATTGCAGATTTTGTTATTAAAAAACTTCATTTTAGTTCAAATTAAACTTCCAAAGATTGAAATGGCTCTTAATTCCTTAAAGAGATAAGCATGGTAATAAAACATGGAAGCAGTAATTCAAAACACTGCACTAAACATGAGATAGACACTACTGAGTAATATTACCAGTTACTCAGTACCTAGGGATGAATGGCAAGAGCAGACTGGTGCAAAGATAGTAATTTTTTAAGACTCACTATCCATAATCCAGTATTTTTTATGAAGCAATGGAATGTCACCTTCAGAAAAAGTTGAGTATTTCTTAAGAGTGGCATGCCCTTATGTGGCTCCAAGCCATAATAGTATTGCATTTCATGAGTGTGCTTTTGATATTTCTGTATCATAAGAGGCCTTAAATTCCATTATGCCAATAGAACTATCACTGACCAAAGAGAAACACAGAAAACCAGGTGTTCCATATTTCATTTGTCCTTGAGCTGAATATTAGTTGTCTCCTTCAGCAAATATAGGTACCGTGCTCTCTCTCTGAAGTTCAGCACCTGTAATGGACGTATGTGTATGCATAGTGTAATAGAGGGAGCGTGACAAAAGCAACTCCCAACAACAATCTTGTGCCACCATAGCTGCTGCAGGAGCTGCATAACAGTACATTCAATTAAACTTGTCAGTTTATTTTTCTAAGAGTTTAAGAGCAAAGAAAAACACTGAAAACCAATTAAGACATTTGTGTTAGCCTCACTTTCCAAATGCATTTTAATAAATATCAGGCAAGCTGAAGTAGTTTCTGTCCCAATAGTTCCCAGAATAAATCCAGTCATGGCCACCAATGTAGGGATTAGTACCTTGATGGAACCACCTGAAAAGAGAAAGGAACACATGGTTATGTGGAGAGCATGAGAGAGAGAGAGCCATTCTATTCCATAGAGATGTGAGCTACCATATATTGTGGGCATACTAAAAAGAGTTTAGTACCATTACCTTCCCTATTAAGTATCTGCCGTAAGAAAGGCTGCCTGAGTTGCTTTTGCGCTATTCCCTACTTTTGCTCAGAGTGAAACAAATGGAGAGAAAAAAGGGCAAGTTTAATGGTGTTTTCGTTCAGTGAAATATATGAAAGATGCAACAGTGTGCTGCAGAATATAAATAAGGTCTTATTGCAGAAATCTTGCAGTCAGAGCTGGATCTGGGGGGGGGGGGTGTTTCGGGAAGGAAGCAGCAAGAAAGCTTTCCTTTCCATTCACTTGCTCAGAGAGCCAGTGGGTAATGAAAAGCAGTGTCAAGTCAGGGGTTGACAGTGGGCCTAGAGGGGCATTGGCAGCTGTCCAAGCATGATGATCCCAGAAGCTGGTCCTCTGTGCAGCTTACTGTATATTATTCCAATTTTCAAGATGTACAATTTAATTAAGATGAGCAATAAAAAGGTCCGGCAAGCAAGGTAAAGTTTTCTCTAAATAGCTCACTGTGAAAACTTAAGTTCATAAACACAGGGTCTGTTATGAGAAGAAAGTGGCATGGTAGTGAAAATACAGTAGGAGGCAGCAGTGTATAGTATGGTTGATACAACACTATAGCCATTTTGCAGCTGCTCTGAAAACAATGACTTTGTTCAAATCATCTTTCCTAGCTTCATAAACCATGCTTTATGAAGCTGAATGTGAATATAATTGCTGAACATTACCCACTTTTCTGATCCCTTCCTATGCTAGCTTTACTGTTTCTGTCTTGTAATAGCCAGAGTACCTTGTTATGTCTACACTAGGAAATTGTGATTTCAAGTACACTGGTTTCAGTATGCCAGGAATGAAGTCTGATGCTGGATGGTGGGGCAAAGGAAGAAAGCTCAGTCCTAGTGTTCATTATAAAGCCAGGAAGAATTGGCCAAAACTAGTCCAGTAGGAATAGGGTGCTAAAAATAGAAGCAAAATGCATGCTGTTTGGAAATAGTCCAATATTATTTATAGGCTATGCTGAGTGCATTACAGCATCTTCTTCAGATTTGTAAGTATAGATGGGGAAAATATGCCATGATTTTTAACTTTATCATCCCTCCTCTGGTGAAACATTATTGTATATAGAAGCTGTGCTTTGAGAAATGTTTGATTTTGCCTCTGGATGTGGTACACACAGAATTTGGCCATTTGAACAAGAATCCAAGAGGTATCACTACATGAAGATTTGGATTCCTTCCATGATGGTACAAACTCGCCCAAGCCAACTATTTAAATCATCTAAACAATATCAGAAAAGAAAATAAGCCTCTGCTTTCTTTCTCAGGTATATCTTAAGAGAACCTGTATATTAACATGCAAGGTGCACTCAAACATAAGTGCTACAGTTTACTAAAACTGCTAAGAATGCCACTCCCGCCCCAGCAAAAAAAGTAATTTAAAAACCCCAAAACAAAAGTAATTATAGCTGAGTTGAAGAGACAATATTGATAAGAGGACCAAGTTCATATCTGGAGTATCACTTATTCTTGTTTATAGGAACTGGTTATTATTTTAAGCCTTAAACACAAAAATCAAGCATTTCAGAAAAGCAAGCAAAAATATCAGAAGAGATCAAACCTGGGAGCCTGGGCCACTGGCTGACTTTTGGAAAAAGACAAAACATAATGCAACTTACAGTTACAAAGACATTTCAATGATCAAACCATGAAGGAAACAGCAAAGACTATTGTTTGCTGGCAGTTGCCTCATGTCCTCCATTATGTGTTGTATTTCAAAGAGAACATTCAGAAGTGTGTGTAAAAACTTTTATGCACAGACTGGTCAATAAGCTTCTGAATACACATGAACTTTCTAGGTCTGGAGCCAGATGACATCTTCAGAAGCTTCTGCAGTCAATCTTCCTTTTATGATTCTGCTTGTTGAAAGTGGAGATTCACTTGATTACTAAAGCTATGTCTGGCGGCAACCCTGTAAATGTACTCAGTAAAAGTAGCCTGAGACATGCGCTCAAATCATTGCCCGATTTGAACACACCTGCAAAAGCATGTCAGACTCTCACCCTGTTTCACTGAGTGTGCTAAGGCTGTATTGCTGGGACCTGGAATTGGTGTCCCTGTGTGCACATGTGTCCATGCATTTACACTTATGCCACCAATAAGAACTAAAGCACTTCTTGCAAGTAGTACACAGAGACCAGTGGCAGGAATCCCTGCTGCGTTTCTTGTGTGCAGTACGCCAAACCAGGGAGATGCCTCTGAGAAGTAATAGTGCTGTGTATGGTAGTCTGCACAAGGCAGCCCATCTGCATGGTATGGCTGTGGTGAAGGTGAGGCACAAGCTATTTCCCTAAAGCACGATGACTGCAATATATAACTAGCAGTAAGAATTATTAAGAAATAATCATGTTAAAATACCCTTCTATAGAGATACAAGCAAAGCAATGCCTAATACAGTTTATGCATCTATCTGGACAGCTGTCTATACAGTATTGTAAATACAACAAAAACATCATACATTGTTTAAGCAGCCTAAAACAAAGGGAAAAAGTCAATGAACCATTATATTCATTTTCTTGAACGGAATTCATCAGTCTCTTCTGTAGTTCCAGCATCACCAGCTCTCTGTTCACATTACTATTAAGTTGGAACAGAGCATTTGAATAGGCAGGGCTTTTAAGAAGGTCAGAACCTGACATCTCTAAATCTCTCCATTAACATAATGCAGACTGGAACAATAAAACAGGAAGTTTGTTTGCAGGAATAATCCAGCAAACAAGAGCTCTCCCTCAGTTAAATCTAGGAATCTATTCTGTCCTGGTTAGCACCAGTGCTCTTGGCTCTTTGGTGGTGATGACAAAATAAGGATAGAACACAGTCAAGCATTCATGTTGCCATGAAAGGCAACAATGCTTCATTGTCTTAGCCACACACTGCTTTTTTTAAAAGGCTTGCTTGTGTCCCATTCTGAATTTTACCATGTACTGAGTGTAGTACAAAAGTTCACATTTTTAAAGTGATAACTGATAGTTATTAGATTTTTAATAGGGATAACTATTCAAAAACAGAAATTGTGGGTGGGTAGCTTGACAGGAAATTTTATAAACCTCTCCGTCCTGGCTACAAGTACCAAAGTACCTTGAAACCAGCTATATTGTAACATTTAGAAGTCAGAATTATTTTTCATAGAAAAAAAGCAGGGTTGTTGTTGACTCTCAGAAACAAACAGCAAAGATTTATGACATTGCCTTCAGCTCTTTTGATACAGAAGCAATTTGTCATATCAACAGGCTAGGGCTATTAAAATAGACTAATATGCAAGCAATTAAAAGCATCCTACTGAAATTAAAGATTGAAAGAACAGTGTTGTCCCTATCCTAATTTAAACATTTTTCCATATAACATATGACTCTGAATTAAAAATTGAGTATCCTCAGAGTTAAAAATTACTGACTTTCTTGACTTGTCCAAGTTTAAAAAATTATTTTGAGCAAACCTATTTTATCCTGAACTATACATCTTCTATTTGTAATCCTCCTGCATAGTTTTTTTCCTCTTTTGAAAAGTAGTATTAACTGACTGGCAAAAAATTATTGCAAAGTTTTCAATCTGAATGTTGGATTAACTTCATCACCATTATTCCGAGCTGTGCAAACATTCACAATACAGAGTATGGATTATTGTGCTGCAACATGCATTCTATATTAGACTAACATGAAAGAAGCATACCCAAGTATCAACATAAATTGTATCTGGCTGTGATCTGTTGTCTTATTGTACTCAGCACTTACCTTTTTTGTACAGTGCATGCAAGAGTGTGTGCCTGCTTCCTTCAAGCTGGCATAATGTTAAATGTACTCTGCACACAGTTATTCTTTCACAACAACAAGACAAGGACAATGATTTCAGTGTCTTTTTAAGAATGAGAATGTGGGCTCTCTTCATGAAATAGCTTAGCTGCAATATTTTGGCTTCCTCTAAGATGTTTTAAAACTAACTTAATGTACAGTCTTTTGCATATTTGGCCAGAAGGACATCTTAAAATTTCCAGCTTTCCCTTCTGGCTAAACATGCATAGGACTGTGCCTTTCGTATACAAAGATGGGAAACTTACAGTCCTGCATGTGCAAGTACGCATATGCAAAGGTAATGCGTATGTGTCATGAAGTGGGAGAATCACACCCTAATTTTCCATTGGATATTGTTGGAGACATTACATGTACTTTATACTTGTTTTAGGTATGTATATTTTTGAAGATGTTTGTGTACAAGCATTGTGATTGCAGTAGTACTGAAACATTTTTTTAAAACTGGCACAGAGCTTCTGTTAACTCAAATGCGTAAAATGCATATGCCAAATGTGTTACAAATATAATTTTATGGTACTATATCAAGGCAGTACTGTCACAAAGTTCTATTCAGTCAAGTTGTATTTGCACCGCTGCCTTAGCAGAACACTGAATATGTGCTTGAAATCCAGTAATATCCAACGGGAAAGCTCTGGGTTTTCCATGGAAATGCCATAACTGTCAATGGAGTATTGCTGAAGTTACACAAGAATGCAGAAATATCCTTAGCATGTTTGATGATGATTACTAACAAAATTGGCATATCATCTTACATTAAACAACTATCAAGGTATGGTATGTTGCTAGGAACATAAAAGATTTGGAATCCAATCTTCCCATTGGCATTAAAGGAAGGTCTTTTTCTAAGCTGTGTGTGCACATGCAGGGGGTGGCAGCAGACTGCACGAGGAAATGGATGTTAACTCCCTTCCTTCTCCAGCCACTATTCTCCTTGCAAATTGCCAGCAGCACGGCAAATAAGCGAAGACAAAACCTTTCCATTGGCACTAATGGATATGTATGGTTCTGAGGAACACAGTCAGGATCATGAGAAAAAAACCTGGAGGTTGGAATGCCACAGGCCCAGGAATACCTCTACCTGGAACTATGTGCATAGCAATTCTGAGTTTCCATTGTTGCCTAAAAAAGCTAGGTATTTCTGTCAGTCCCTGAGAGACTGTACGGAAAATAATTGATTTGAGTAACCAGTTGGAAAAACCTAATTCCAATCCTGCAAGCCAGGCTCCAATGCTAAAGTCAAGTCCTTATGAAAGCTTAACAAGAACAGGAGTTTGTAACAAGGAAGCCACAACTGAACTGAGTGGAACTAAGTAGTTTATAACTAATTTAACATTGCCTATTAAAGGCCCCAGTCAAAATTTGTTTCAGGAGCCAGAATAAGGTGCTGTATAGGCAGTAAACCTGGACTTCCTCTGTGGACACCAATATATTAGACAACAGGCTCATTCACAAGTAATGGCAGCAACTTGTGGGCTAATTAACTGAAGATTGTCCATGGTGCTAGCCAGGAACCTCCTATAGCCTTGAATATTCAACTTCCAATTGGTCCAATCTAATTTAACTTACTGCTTTTAGGTTACAGTGGCTGGTTTAACACATAATTAACCTATAGTATGTGCATCCAGATGTTAAGTAACACTGATAAGAGTCTAAATATTCAAAATGGCCATGGAATTAACCCACAAGTTACTGCTAACCTGTGTGACATGGCTCAGCATCATAAAACATAATGCTGAGTCTTTAAAGAGGTGCAGAATAACCCTCATTCAAGAGTTACTTTCAGTTTACTGACCTAGTCTTCCACTCTTCATCTGATTTAGATCTATTTTTACGAGCAGTTCTCTGTTTTTCTTCAAGCCTTTTCTTTTCTTCACTGGCTACATCTACAAAGAGCCAAAAAAGTGTAACAAATTATACTGAACAGTAAAAGTAGCTACAATAGAATACAATCAATCTCACCTGCAAATTTTAATGCCATTTATGTTGGCAGAGCCAGTATATCCCAAGATTTTCCAACATTTCATGGACTTAAAGCAGATTGTCTCAAGCTCCCCAAGAATGGGGCTAAGGCACGTTGTGAAGTGTACTCACAGGTCTATTATAAAGAAGACCCAAACTGCATATTACTTTGAAGATACAATGAGCAGCTGTATCTTTAATTCTAAAGCAGGACTGGATGTGGTTTGTGGCTCCTATTGCTCCCCACCTTTTTTTCTTTATTTTTTAATGAAAAAATAAACTAGCTTGTGATATGTTTGCTTTAAAAACTACTACTACTTCTGGAAGATGCCCTATAAGTGGGGGTTTTCAGGGGACATAAAATGGCTCCCAGATCTACAGTTGGCCTCTCTTAAGTAACAAAAGGGACCCAATCCAAATTGGAAACCTAGTGTAGGAATTGAGGATTTTTGAAATTTTGTCTCTACCCCTGCTTTGCCAACTGAATACTCCCCTTGTTCTCAATCTATTGTGTGTATACAACCGTGTTAGATGAAATCTGAACAGTGCTGATGGCATAACTGTCACAATAATCAAAGCTACTTCTAAAGCTGACCACAGTGAAAAAGGAGAAACTGGAACCTATTCTTGTAGCAAAGCAGAAACATTTGTTCATCTAAAATCAAAGCCCAAACTAAGGACAGTAAATACAAACAAGCTGACTGCATTGAGGAAAAGGTGGATGAAAATAATTTTCAATCAAACAGTATTCCAAATATTTACTCTTCAGCAGCAGACATACTGCCATATCAGTAATGAAGGCAGGCATTCCTCTATGAAGAGTTTTGTAAATCACTGTTGCAAAAACAAATCTATACATTAAAGTTATGGCCTATACAAATATTATTTAAAAATTACCTATTTCACCATTTTCCATGGCTCTTATATCAGGCCTTAACCTGCAGTCTGTTTTAGGAATAACACTTTCCATTCCATGATCCAATTCATTCAAAGCCATAGCGAAGGTAGTGAAGTTGTACATCTAAAAAAATAAGTAGTGTTAGGACAACTGTAGTGTGTACTGCTGTACATGTGCTGAGAAAGTTAAAAGAGAATGGGGAGCATCTTCATTAAAGACTGCTACAATACTTATTCTTTATTTCAGTTGAAAATAAAAGGATTATTAGCCAGTAGTAATACAATTCTGGATAAATGTTCCTGAAACAAACAAAAAAGTGCTACCACTTCATTGTATAAGGGTACCTTTCTTTTTAAATATGATTATGTGTTCCCAGGTGAGAAAACAAACATGAGTGAATGTAAAATCTGGAATACAGTAATTTAAAAAGGAAAGGTGAATTATATTTCTATGGAGGAAGGCAATTATTCCAACATCTGGATTGGATGCCAATGGGCAGTTGTGTATGAGCCAAAACAAATATGCATACTGGTTCCTGCCCTCTCTACCACAGCATAACACTCTGTCCCTGGGTTTTTGGTTGCAATGGTCAAGAGAGACATTTGAGGATTATAAACTTGGGCTGATTTGTTCTGCCCCACTACATTGGGGTGGCAGCGGGGGGGGGGGGGGGGGGGACTGGGTGGTGAAAAGTAGGTCTCTTACTTGACACACAACAGCTGAGAGTTTCAAAAATAAGAGAAAAAATGGTTTGTTGTGCTATGCTAGCAGAGTAATTTGCATTCTCTCTCTCACGCACAAGAGGAAATCCAAACACGAACAAAAGTACTCGATGGATTGTCAAGCAAACTGCAAACTGTCAACACACAGTCCTTTCTTACCTGTGTTGAGTTTGAAGGCCTTGGAGCTATCCTCCACAGTAACACACTTCCAGGAATAACATACACTCTTTCTGAATCTGGCAAGGGCATCTCATCTGGTTCATCGGAACTGCCCAACTGCAAGAAGAATGAGTGTGAAGCCCAGCATATTAAACTCAGAAGCTACAAAGCTATTTCAGGATAGCTCTAAGGGGATCAAACGAAGCAAGTGCATAGGCAGAAACAGAATATCAATTTCCAGACCTTAAAAAGGAAATTATAAATTTATAGATGCATGATCAAATGAAGAATATTTTGGGCACCATGGTGGCTAAACAATAATTCCAAAATACCTAACAACTGGTTCTCTTTTTCAATGAATCATGTCCAAGCTCATGTCATGGGTTTGGGTCTGCACAGAACAGCCTTGTTGTTTGAATATTCACCTTTGCCGCTCATGACAAAGAATTCCATCCATCCAGTCAGGCAAGCTTAGAACCAGGGTACTAGAGAAAGAGGGATGGGTCACTCAACGCCTTCCCTGCCAGCCTGCTTGATTTCTCTACTGCCTATGGGTGAAGGTAATCCCTCGTTCACAGCCAGCAGATAAAACAAATGGGCTGGTAGATGACTTCTTTTTAGTAGTTTGCTAATAAGCTTTTAATATATTTTCCAGACTATTGCAAGTCCTAGGGCAGTATTCAATGATGCTACAAACTAGCAGGATCCACCAATAGCTCAATAGAAAGCTTTAGTTCTTGATTCAACCAGAAATGCTTATTTTTGCACTAATAGTTGGTCCCACAAGAACAAAAGAATGAACCGAGGTACACCAACAGTATTGGATATTGCTCCTTGAAAACATATTTAATTTAATGAATATTTAATTAAATGTACTGTATTTTAATATGTTTTGATGTTCTGAAAGCACAGGTGAAATGTGAAAGCACAATGTTATTTTTTTAAGATGCTGAAAAATGCTGTATTTAGTACTGTACTTGTTCAGTGGTTCACAAAGATACTTTTTGGCCTGTTTAAATAGTGGTTACTTAATTTTCCACCTTTCTTCAATAGAAACCAAGACAGATTCCTGAGCTGCTTACCTTTAGCAGCAGTCAACCATATAGCAGTCCAACTGAGTAACCGATAGAAGTAAGGGCTGAGTATTGGATAGTGACCTATGTCTAACTTGCTGCCGGGCCCCACTTGTCAGCTTCTCAGACATTTTTCCAGCTGATCAGAATGCCGGACTGGATGTACTTTTGTTCTGTACATGCTACTCCATTCTTAATTTTTTAGATTTCCCCCCATGAGCAGTGTATGTGTTGAGTGGGGAAGAATGTAGTGATACTAGAATGTGCTGCAGACAGCTTAAGACAGGGAGGGGAACCGTGTGTGGATTGAGCTGACATTCTTGGGCTCCTACCTGGAGCTTCTCTACCCAGCACTTCACTTGGGAAAACAAGGAAAAAAATCTAAATTTCTATGCCAGTTCTGGACCAATTACAGCCCTAACCTTAAACTGTACATAAAACAAACACCTGCTGAAAGACAGAGGGCTATGTTACTGCTGCAAGGCAAAGCTTTGCTTTCTTCATCCACCCACCCACCCACCCCGCTTTGACTATGAACTTCTCCTCTTTCAAGGCCTTCTTTAAAGCAAGGATGTTCTGTGCTACAGATGTGTCTCCTATTTTGACCTTAGTGTGTAGTTATTGGCTGGCACTCTGCTTCTGGTCCAGTTTATTTTTCTAAAATACAGTTATTTCCCCTTGTCTTTCCTGTCCCTATCCTCCTCACCACCTGATTCATGGCTGTTGAGCCTCCCATTCTTTCCTCTTCTCCAGAAATTTAGATGTTCTTTTACCTGTTCTGTAAATAGGGCTGCGTACCCTGTTCAGTTTTTTAAACTCCTGGATAGTATCTTTGTTGATTATTGATAACGCTTTTGTTGTTTGTACTTCTCAAACCACATCCTTTTTAATTTTTGCCTTTTTTCATGTTTATCTTCAAGTTGCTTTGCTCATGTAACTTGTATGTTGCCCTCTCCTCACTGATAAAATATTCATGCTTTGTTCAAGTTTTTAATGTGCTCCCTCTTATCTTTCTCCTTCATTACCTTTCTGTTCCTTGGATATTTCCTTCTTTCTAAACTTCAGGTTTCAATTTCTACTTCATTTGCATTCATTCATTGTTGTTAATGCTCTGCCTATTTAGTATTATACAGCACTTAACTCTCCAGGGGTTACTAAAAATGAGCTTTGCCTCAACCCTGAAACAGAACATCTCAAAATCCCAAGGTGAATTTATTGCTCTAGATGGCATGCAATAGAAGTCCACATGTATATCATTCCTTCATAACCCTTCATATCATCTAGCCCAAAATTTGCCATGAATAAATCTATTTTATATGGTAAGATGCACCTATAATTTATAGCACCAGTTGGAGTTGGTTACTGTTTTGCCCCAGTGCTGGCTGCCAGCAATAAAGAATTACACAAAGAACTACACAATTAGTTTGCATGTCAAACATCACTTTATACTTCTATTTGGCAAACAGCCCTTTCTCATGTCAGAAGGAAAGCTGCCTTTGAAATAGAGGTGCTTGTTACTCCAATCAGATTTCAGTTGCAATGTTCCAAGTACGGCTATGCCTATAATAGCTCTTTCAGTGTTGGCCTATGTAATTATTTTTACACCAAGATCCCCCCAGGTAAAAGAAAAGCAGTCCTAAATTACAGCTAAATGCTGAAATTTAGCAGACTTGAAGCACCTGTAGTTTCTGTTACTCTACAGTAGCCTTTAAACTGACCTACTCTATAGCAAGCTGTTTACAAAGGTGTAGCCTTGATCTTAAGAATTAGAGATGGAAAACAAAATACAATGTTCTCTTGGCAAGCTGCTTGGTCAAGAGCATACAGACAGCCCACCCTAGTATTTGGCAAAATATGGTACATTCACTTAAGAAACTCAGCCTAAAATAGACCATGAGGGCAACAACATTCCCCCGTTCCAGAGTTAGCAACAGTACCTAATCATGCCTGCTGATTGAGCATGCAGTAAAATTCTTGTTTTTGAAGTAGAGTGCCTGTGCCTGTGTATTACTGGGTCATTTCTCCAAAGACGCACTATGACTAGTGTTCAAAAGTTCCTAGGTACATTTCTTAATGTGTATACATGTGTCTGGAAAAGATGTTCAGGAATAAATAAATAAATAAATAAATAAATAAATAAATAAATAAATAAATAAATAAATAAATAAATAAATAAATAAATAAATAGCAGCACACTGTAGCAAGACATCTAGTTTCTATGTCGGAAAGAAAATAAGCCAGGTGAAAGGTTGATAGCTCAAATGTTTCTAAAAAAGAAGTCTTGGAAGTGCGTCAACTTCATCAAAAACTAGTATGCCATTTCGCTTTACTTGTAAATTCTGAATGTATATGTATTGCTGCATGCAAAAAAAAAAAGCCCCCCACATTTTAGACAGATTGCAGTATACATTTTGCTCCACAACAGTCTTCTGCATAACCAGATTTTACAAGTAAGGTATGAGCCACATATAAATGCTATGTTTTTCTTTTCTTCCCTCAGCCTGTTCCCCTGGGCTCTCCACAGGTGCAATCTCAAAGTCAGTAGTAATTCTCCAGAGCCTTTTCATACTCCTGATAATAAGTATTGAAAACTGACTGTAGGCAGCAATCAAGTGAATCACTACTGGAGCATTAAGAATGAAGACAATTTGAAGTTATAAACATTAAAAACGCAATTGGTAGGCCATGAAAACATAAACACTTAAAAGTTTCAGCCAACAGCTAAGTGTGGATTTGACTTGGTCCCACTGAAAGCAAGAGGACTTAATTCTTAACTTTTTCTAGATAATATCCTATGTTTTTAGGTGAAGAAAAATAAAATTTCAAAAAAGTATCTTTATAAGTTAGATGGAGGTCCCCCCACCCAGAGATTGGGTTTGATCAACCCTGTAGCACATGTGATCTGCAATCATTTGTAGAATACTGCATTCTCCCATCTGAGAAAAAGAATTATATTAGTTTATAAAGACAAGCCATCCTCCCAGGTGGTCCTGTTCACAGGACAAAAGCATAGATTTAAATGCAATCCTATGCTAGTTTCAAAGGAAAAAACTACAATTCCTAGCATTCTCCACTCGACATGGGAGTTGGAGTGCTTTCCTCTGCCTAAACATGTACATGATGGCACCCTTGTACTGAAAGCAATCTGAAGCTGCATCTAAATACATCTGTAGAAGTTGTAGCCATGACCTGGAAACATAATAGAGGCCCAGCTGGATAATTACTTAAGATTTCATGTAAACCATGGTTGCTGAAGCAAAGAATGGATGTCAGGACTGAGCATTCCTCCCTTGCCCCATATCCCTTCTGTGGCTGACTGCTTATAATGTGAAGATCCAAGAATTTTGTATTCTATCTGAACTGTGAATGTCAATTGACAGGCTGTGAAGGTAAGTGAAGGTATAGGCAGAAGAAAAGGAGGACATCAGGATTAATGAAGCCTCTAACAATAGTCTGCATTGTTTTGAGATTTTTGGAAGTTCTGAGAGGGCAAGAAGTCATTTCAGATTTTGAACACCATCTTCAGCTATTTAAGTCAGAACAAGATGCATAAATTTTCTGAGTTCTTAGAGCTAATCAAATATATAACCCTGTTACTGCTCTACCCATGTTAATACCTGTTTGCTATTTTTCTTCTCTTCCGTGTTTTTCTTGTCATTCTTTTTGTAAGCTTCAAATGTAGTAAGATCGACACTGTACAAACACTCAGTCCATTTTCCATATAGTGCACAAAGTTTCTTTTTGCTGTCAAAAAACACCCCCAGAAAAAAACTAATTTTAGAAAGAGTACATTTTGACTTATTCTAACGCTCAGATTCACACTCTACAAAAATTAGGGCAGCAAGTCATCAGCTCTCAGAAACTACTAAATCCTCTATATGAATTACAGTAGTAGACATTTCAGAATCTTTCAAAGGGCTTATTTACCTTTTATCTTGAATGTAGCCTTCAACTTTATGTAATTCCTTTCCAAAAAGTCCACAGGGCTTGAAATATAGCAAACATTTATCACCAGTTCTGTGGAAAAGTGTAACATTACTGCTTCAACATTTTACAGTTGACATACAAACAGCATGTGCCTTGGCTTTTTGAAATGTACTACAGAGGAGGGTATTTTGGAAAAAAACAAGAAAGCACCCTCTATTTTGTCTTCAATGCATATATTGTATTTTTGGTCAATGTCAAGTGGTGACGTAGTATTCCTTGACATGACCAAGGCAGTAGCCAGCTTGCACCTGCCCTTTCCAGGAAAGTTTTGTGTTCAAAGCAAACCAAATCAGTTCATATTTCCTGTCAATGCAAAAGCCTTAATAATTATGCCCATTTTATATATGTCATAAGTGGAGCATTTCAAGCTTACTTGTGATTGGTTATCTCCATATTCCCATACTGCTCAATCCAAAGCTTTCCTACAATAATATTATGCACACAACATGTAGGGTTTGTCCATGTGTATGCCTCATTGTGCCTGAGGTAAAAAGAAGAAAAGCAGTTAAATTCACAATCCTTTTTAAAGGATCCCAATAAAACCTGTTTTTAGAAAATGTACATCAATCAGTCCATTCTCTGCCATTTGCAATAAATCAAAGAGTACAAAATGTACAGACCACATACATCGAAGCAAGAAAAATGCTGATTTCATGTATTCCGACATGGCAACTCTAGTTACCTTCATACGCTGACAGACGCAAGATGTTTTCATGTCCAAAACAACACCCCATGGTCCCAAAGAAAGCTTAACTCTGGGATATTTCTGAAGCATTTTCAAACTGAGCATGTTGCCTGCCCTACCTAATCTGTCAAATGCAGGCTATTTAGTTTTGACAGATAAGGTATGTGAGAGGTGGAGAACGGTATCAACACTCCATCATGTTTCTCCCAACCTAAGGGCATACAGAACTTACCAATAAGGTAACGCAGTGGAAGCTACAGTCACACAATGGAAACTACATTTCATTCCACCTACATCTGCATCATATACTGCTCTCAACCTGAAATTGTTTGGGACACATCCCCTAACACAGACACAGGAAGCTGCCTTTTACCAGGTCATGCTATTTGTCCATTTAAGAAACAATCCTATGCATGTTTAGACAAAAAAGGCTCACGACTCCCACCAAAATTGGGCAGAACAGAAAAAAGGACTATGGCTTCTAGCAATGCCCAACAAAAACGGCCAGCCAAACTTGCCAGGAATTGTAGGCCTGCTTTCTGCCCAAGCATGCATACAACTGCGCCCTAAATGAACAAATAATCTGGCCTGGGCATGCTGGGAGTTGTAAGCCTTTTTGTTCCTGTCTAAACAGGCACAGGATTGCACCTTTAGTCCAGTACTGTTTATGCTGACTGGTAGCAGTTTTTCAGGATCTCAGCGGAGCTCTTTCTTGTCACTTGCTACCTGATCCCCTTGACTGGAAATGTCGAAGACTGAACCTGGATATGTTTTGCCACTGGAATGTGCCTGTTGAATTCTGCTACAAGAATGAAGGGAAACCTTGCTCAGGTCCTGACAAGCTATTTATCAGTTTAATTCTATGGGCATTTTATACAGACAGCCAGATATATGAATGATGCAATTCCATGGGATCACAGAATGCTAGGCAACATTGAAATTACTTGAATTTCCCTATGTACATAATATAGGCATAAAAAAGAATGGAGTTCTTGGTGAAGAATTTGGTTTGGATTGACATGATTTCAACGCTGATGTTGCTGCTGCAGCATCAAAGCTGTGCCTGTTGACCATTGGTTGTGACCACAGGTGATCTCTAGACAAGAACACATTCCTGCTTCTGGGAATTCCACAGAAATGGGGCTGCCACACTTAAGGCTCTTCTCCTGGTGGACTCCAGCTGGGCTTGATCAAATCTCTGATATCAGCAAGCCCTCCATTTCCTGGCCCCAATATGGAAGTCACCTAATTTTGATGTATATGGTGTGAAAGAGAAACTCTCTAACATACATGAGCTAGGCCCAACATGCTCAGCTGCTTTACGCAGGTTCCAAAGGAAGCAACATGGATAGCTGAGTTTGGGAGTGCTGTATCATCTTCCATAAGCTCACGTCCAGCCCCTTGTATCACAGATGCAGCTCAGTCTGCCTGATCTTTAAAAAGACCCTACCACCTTCTGCTGTCTTAGATCAGCCTATCCATGCTCTTATATTTCTTCCCAGTACTCGTCTTTCCTGCTTGGTTGTTTCCATCTCAGCCATCTGTGGGCAAGGGAGAGTCTGTTTTGGGGGCTGTGGGGTAGGGGAATAGTTTATATCAGTCTTCCCCAACCTTGTATTTTCTAGGGCTGGCAGGGGAATCCTTGGAATCATTGTACAACACATCTGGAAGGCACCAGGTGGAGGAAGGTTGGTTTACACAGCATGGCAGAACACTGCACTGCATTGGCATTTTGTCTAAGGCAGCTGAACATTGCTTGGACAACTTACTCAAGAAGTTTTAGAGTTATTATTCCTTTAGGTTCTGCTTCAACACTCTTTCCCCAGAACTTGAGTTTAGGATAAATGGAGCCATGAAATACAAAGTCATTATTCAGTCCTTCAGCATAAAAAGCACTGATTGGTGGATGATGACTAACTTGCTCTGAGATGAGTCTGAATCCAAGATCCTCCCTAAACACAGAAATAAAGTTATAATGGAACAATAGTTTTCTACAAAATGGGATAAAAAGGAGATGCTGCCACATAAGCCTCTAAAGACAGGTATTTTTTCCCTCTGAACAAAACCTTAATGATTACACAAGCATGTAATTGTGTGTAATAGCTATACTTTCCTGACACAATGGGTAGCAGTCAGAGCCTGCTCCCCTGTACACAGTCTGAGCGAGGCAGCAGGTGAGCAAATTGTGCTGCTCCCCTCTCCAGCCAGGAGGGCCAACCATGGCTACCCTGCCCCGTCAGCTCTCACAAGGGTTCAGCCAAGTCCTGCAGTCAGGGGAAGTGAGGTGGCAGACACGGGAGCGGGCTGGCAACAGCCTGTCAGCATGCGCTCTTGCCTCAAGCACTGAGACACCCTGGAGGCCGGCAGCTGGCAAGTCTCATTGGCCTGTATGGATAAGAACTTGCCACATTACATTCACTGCCAAGTAAAGTTTTTTGCTGCTGCTGTTGCTGGGTAGCAATTACATACTTTAGGATACTATCAGCCACAATCAGGTTAATTTCACCAAGCCAGTCAGTTAAATGCTGTGTATGCTTATTACCTGACCAGTTCATATGTCTCTCCAAGTAATGGGTTGAATGGTTTTCCTGTACGTTCCCACTGCGAGGCAACAGCGGAGACAGCAAAGGCAGCCACACACTGTTGGAAAAGCAATTGCATTTGTATTTTTACCTCCTTAATGTAGAAACATCTTAGGCTTTGGGTCTTTTGAAGAATTCATTCTCATGAGGAGGAGGTAAATATTACAGTAATGCAGAAGCACAAACTAATTTTTAAGAGAGGAAAATGGAGAAAAGCTAGATTACCATCACCCCCCTCCCCACTTCCTGCTGCAGTTTTTATAGTTAAGCTGTACTGCTTAAAGCCAAGCTAGCAGGCCAGATATTCAATGGCTGACTTTCTTTAACACCTTTATGGAGGTCAAGCCAATTGTATTTCAGCAGGCCTAAGGTTCACAACAAGTTTCTAGATGATGTAGAAATAAACACCCCTCCTGTTTTAGAGCCTATACAAACAGGGCAGTAGCCCACATTGCCTCTGCACCTCTGCTGATTATATTGTGCCAGCAGGACTCACACCTGGTGTAACAGGAAGCTAGTGCTTCCTAAAGCAATCCTGGAAAGGACCTGAAATGCGAAGTTCTTTTTTGAGCTGACTTGTTTTGTTCCAGAAAAGGTTATTTTCAGGCTGCTATAGGAAGCAGTAGCTTTCTGTCATGCTGGTGCTTAATCTCACTGGCATGTGTTGGATACTGCCCACTGTATACAGTTCCAAAAAATACCACATGCATTTATTCAGAATTGGAGTACCTTCATTCTTTCAACTGGGTCAGAAAGTGAGCTGGCTTTATGAATTAAGTATGTATGCTCCATGTATTCCGTCAGTCGCTGTAGGAAACTCAGGGGCTCATTAAAAATTACTGGCATAGTGATCTTGGACAGCTCCTAGCAGAATTATAAAGACAGGGTTAAAGTTACCCAAACATCCATATACTACATTACTAACTATATGAATGGGTTGTGTCTACTGTAAAATACAGTGAAATCAAGTTAAACCGTTAGCGGACTGCTAAAAAGATAAATTTGAAGAGGGGTAAATAGCTTCCTATATACAAGCCTCCTTTTAAAACTTAAGCAACATGTAATAGTGTTAAACCAGAGAGATCCAGCTTCAAATCGGCAGTCAGTGATGAAGCTTTCAGAGTTACTTTTCATGTTAGAAGCTGTTCAGCTGTCAAGTTGCCTTGCAAAGCTCAAACAAGTTGAAAACAATGAACTGCAAATCTAACAAATAAAAAGAAATCGCCTAAATTGAGGCGAGTTCTTGGGCAATTTTTTAAATGGTAATAATATAAAAAAGGGAAATTTCTTTAAGATCTTGTATGAGATGGTTTGAAGGCTGAATCCTGTAAGCAGAATGCAGCAGAAGCAGTGGTCCATTGGTCAGATCTGAATGCCTCAAGCCTGGTAGGAGAGCACAGCACACACAATGGATGCCCTGTTAGCAGACCCAGAACACTCACATGGTGCTGGGCTGGCTGCAATGACACAGCTGCCCCTTGCTCTTTGGCTCTGGTGGCGGGTCAAGGAGAGCTCTCGGGACAACTGCACAAGCATGGCTGTCAGCAGTGCTACGTTTTTCTTCCAGTGATCAAACAGGAGAATATATGCACGTACAGTGGTGGAGGGGACTGCTCTGCTTATCTTCCAAAGAGAGAACACAGTATGCCTGGTATGTTTCATGCAAATATGAATGCTTGCTTGCATACCACATTACAAAGACTGGCTGGTCCTAACAAAAAGATGTTATTTTATGGTCTTTTGGGGGGAAAAGGACCAATATGGTACCCATTTTTATTGTTGTTTGAAAACTGGATGTGTGTGTGTGTGTGTGTGTGAGAGAGAGAGAGAGAGAGAGAGAGAGCGAGAGAGAGAGAGAGAGAGAATGTACATAAAAGTTAACCTACTAAGGAATTTTACACTCTTAATTGATAACCTCTGCAACAGCCATTTAATGCAAGCCATAGTATCTCACTCTTAAGCCAGAAGTATGAGCTTCCAGTTTATAGCTCATACTTTTAACTCTTACACCCATCTTGAATGGGTATCTACAGCTCTCATTGCCCTCTCATTGAGATCATTGGTCATGCTGACAGGGGCTGATTAGAGTTGGAGTTCAACATAATGTGGAGGACCATATGCCCCCCCCCACACACACACACTTTAAAGTAATGCATGGTATTATTTACTGATGTTCAACTGCAGTAAAAATACCTGTATCATTCATCAAAACTTGGCAAAGAATTGAAAGGTGTGTGTTACAGTGTTTGAAGATGCTCCTTAGTATTGCAGCATTTCAGTACAGTTCATTCATAAGATGTATTTCTGCCTTATTTTCTTACAATTTCATGGCACAACACTGATTAAGTGGTAATTTATTCTTATAAATATATTATATTATAATCTTCACTGAGTAGGAGGAAAACAAGAAATATGCTTTCCATGACATGAGAGCCAATATCACCAGCTGTTCATGGCAATGACTCAGACTTAGATTTCTACTGCAATTTTTATGTTCCAGTTTCAAAGATGTTGCTTTCTTTATTACTATTAATTATTCTTTATTATATTTCTACACCTCTCATCAGAACAGAAATTCCCTAAGGCCTTTTAAACTTTTGCCTAGATTTCTAGAATGCTTCCTTCACTGCAGCAATTTTCTCCACCCCAATCCTCCCAAAAAACAAAACCAACCCCCCCCACCACATATCTTTGAAAGAAATAGAAAAGACCTGTGAACATTCCAGAAGATTTCAAATCCCCCACATTTCCTAGATCACACTTTCTATGGAAGAAGATCAAATTATCAGAATGTGTCAATGACATGTGCAGGTTTCTAAAAGAATTGTAGAAAGTTCAAGGGTTTGGTGTATGAGCAGCTGGTTATGAGCTGTGTGCACAAAACTTCTGATTCTGTATGAACCACGTGTGGTATGTTTCTACATATATGTAAACTAGGAACTCTGGCTTTATCCAAGCCAGAGTCATAAGCTAAAAACAAACCATGGATTAAAACTCTGGATTGTTGTGGAAAAGACAAGCTAGAATTCCCAGTAATGGTAGGAATTCGTTATCTGCAGCAGGAGCATAAGCCAGGGTTCCCCGAGAGCCCGGGTAAACCAGGACATTGTTCTGTGGCATGCAACAGTTAAGGCACACACTGTAACTGGTTATGTATAAAACTAATCATGATTTTTCATACTAAAGAAAACTCAATCATATGACATATTTATTATAAAGACGTTGCAGAGATACTTTATTTTAAGTCAAGATTCACCTACCATTCCAATGCACTTTCTCAAGATACTCCAAATACTGAAATCATTTCTAGAAAACATTGGCGAGGGCAAGCTTGTCCTAGATGGGGCGAAGGTAAGAGAGCAAGCTTGTTAGTAATGAATAATATGCTTCAATATTAAGCACCTGCAGAGTGCACATTACGTTGCCAGAGCTGACCTCTGAACAACAGGCTATCTACACTACTACTAAATAGCCAAATTCTATCAGCAGCTACTCCATGCTACTTACACAAGTTGTTTAAAATTATTTGCCATAAACCATAGTTAAGTACCACACATGTACACCAAATGTACTGAGCACTAGCAAGTAAAACTTGCAGCTTTGGGTTAGGTAGCCAGTTCAGACAACCTGCTTGCCAGAAAAGTTCTCTCACACTGCAGTAGCTAGCAGACTAAGATAAGCAGGTGGTCATGGCCATTGGTTCTTAATATAAACATTTAAGTATAACACACATTATAATTTGAGTGATATACTATCAGTGTTCAAAATTGTTGCTTTATTAAAAGAGGCAAAACATATTTATTCAAGATCTGTTTAAAGTTTAAAAGCCCAGTATTTTGTAATAGGTAACTCCAGGTCAAATTAGAAAGCAGTATTTTAAAACATAACTGCATGCAAAAGTATACTTGTATATAGATGATAATTTCCAAAGAACAATGGGAGTGACTTCCTGCTGAAGGCTGGTAACTTGGTTAATTGAATGAGCATATTGAGGAACTTACCTCTGGAGTGGAAGACATTTGATTAAGTCAACTGTCTCCCCAAGACCAGAGATGGGGAACCTCAAGCTCACAAGCCAAATGCAGCTTGGGGAGGTTCCCTACCTGGCCCACAGAGTTTCCTGTTCCAAGCCTAGCCCCTGTCCAGTCTCTAAGCCTCTCCACAGAAAAAGAAATCCTTTCTGTTAGCTTCAATCAACTGTGCTGCCTTTCTCTGTGCAGAGAGGGGCACAGAGTTCTACCATCCTGCCATCACCCATCATCTCATATTGGCCCATGGAGAGGGAGACCCCCCATTTTAGTTTCATACAATACAATGGCATTATAAAACCAGCTAGTTTGGAACAGATGCTGCCCCTGATCTAGTCAGCTTTACATCAAAGGAAAACTAAATGTTGCTAAAGGTAAGACTTCAGTGACAACAGCTTTCTTCCCCTCCCACTTCTTAGTGGCTGTGAGCATTAATTCAGTATATTTTACTTCGAAAGCTCCCAAAATTGTTCTGAAAGGAAAAAAAAAAAAGACTTTTCATGAATTTTTGCAACAGACACGTGAGGATGCAGACGGGTATTGCAGCAGTGGGAGCCATGCCTCTGCAAAGCACTGCAACCATCTCCAATTATTGCTTAAAGCACAGTACCCTGCAGAACCAGTTTGGCTAGAGCCCATAATGGAACAGAAAAAGCGAACATGCATAACACAGCCAGTTACCATTCTACAATGCCACAATCCCCATCTCTGAAAAGTTCTCTTTAAATACAATCTACATTGCAGTGATTCAGGCATAATATCCATTCTCAGCATGAAGACTTTAAAAACATCTGCCACTGAGTTAATATAAAGAGTTTATTTTTAATCTTAGATCTGGACACCAAGTCCATGTTCAAATCCTCATCCATTCAGTAAGCCCACAAATGGATTTGGTCAAATCACTACTAGCCTATTTCACAGATTATGACATTAAGGTAGGCAATAATATTCTGTAATTTGTAAGAAACCCTTAGAAAATGATACCAAAGAAAGTTGCATTTATTTGATGCTAATAGCAGGAAACACATTCATTATTTATATGTCAGGCCAATGTGGTCATTTAATGCCCAAGAAAAACAACACACATTTAACATGTAAGCCAGCACATATGAAGACATATGGTCACATAATGAGAGAAGCTACTATTCCAAACATAATTTCCTGTCACATTTGTAGCCAGTGGACCTGGGGAATCCCAGCCAAAATCCAGTATTTTCTTTAGTGATAACATTGTTTTAAAAACACAGCCCTGTATTTTTACATGTATGTGTTCTGTGTTACTGATTTTCACAAACTTCTAAATGAATGGTCTGTATAAAACTGAATTGGTTCACCTTTGATGATTAGACCCACCACTGGAGAAAAATATTCTTCGGTACCCTGACAATGTAACTATCATGGTAGTACAGTGCTCTACCCTCAAGCTATATGGAGACAGATCAAACTAGATCTAGGCCTACCCCAAACAAAATCCTGCCAAAGTCTTATGTGCCTGATTCTCAAAAATGGTCTGAGCTTCATAGCAGTGTTCCATCCCTTGGAGGTAGGTAGGAAGTCAGGCCTTCTTGTCCAAGCAAAGGTGACTCAGGGAGTGTTTTTCTGGGTTCACTACCCACTAGTCTAACTGTTTCTAATGATCCCCCCAAAAAATCCTAGCTTAGAACAGGGATTCTGGTGCAGTAGCACCCCAGAATCTATACCCTATTACTGTTCCTCCTTGGAACAGGTTTCTTGTGGCAACTTGGATCATACCTTGTGAGCCAGATTATGGCTGTGTTCACACAACATGACAAGCAACCCTGCATGGTTAACATGGTTTGAAGGGTGTGTGTGCGTGTGTTTGGCTATGCTATACCTGAAAGACAATAAACTGGTTTCTATTTTATTATGGTTTCCATCCACCTTGCTCAGTACTCCCATTGCTGGCATGTATCCCATCAACCACTATGCCCAAAATTCAATCTGAAGGTACATCACTCCCACTTCTTCCTCATTAGTCCTCACATAGAAGCTGGCTGGCTGGAGCAGCTCCTGCAGTTGCCACTCCTTCCAGAGAACTTTGTGGTACTTGCATATCAGGACTGTGGAAACTGATCCTGAGTTCAGACAATATGGCAAGCCATGGTGGTACCGCGATACCATAGAATGAACTTTTGTTTCTTACCATGGTTTCTAAAGGTATAATATGTTGACTGGATTCAGACACAACAGACAAGACTGGTAAAAAGCACAATGGCTTGTTGTGTGGTGTGAATGCAGCCCATGAGGCCAGAGTATGTAAATCTGTAAGAAAAGTATGATCTGTTTACTCCATCCTGTTCATATGTTCTCCTGACAACTTTACAACCTAGCAACAGCAAGAAGCTTTCCCCAGTATGAGCTCTCCATATCTTTAAAAAGCAAAGCCTTCAAGACCAACTTTGCTAAGCAATCCAGTAATTCAGTCCTAAGTTGCACCAACTGGCTTCTTGTATTTCTTTTTCTCCCTTTCTAATGAAGGTGCTGCTTGTTCACATGTCATCCAACCAGAATAGAGGCTAACCATGTCTTATGCTGATAATTCTTTCCTATATCCTGTATCAGTGGTGGCTTGGCTCATTCTGCACACCGAGTTCAGTTAACTTCTTGCTTTTGTGCACTACTGTGACTTATGCATGTTCAAATGTTAATGTTTCATTATGTGATAGCCCATGTTCCCCATTTTATAGTACAAGAGAAGCCAAAGCCCAGAAAAGGAGAAAGCAAATGCAGTGAAAAGTGTAAGAGAAGCTAGCTTTCTATAATTTTTGATTAAGACGATTAGTTAATATATATTTTGAGGACAACAGAAAAGATTGGTTCCCAAAAGTGAAGACAGAAGTGACCTCCAAAGCATACTTCAAAACTGCATCCTTGTACAGAAACAGAATAACATGCTTTAGCAGCCTTATTCCTAGAGATTATTATTCCAATCAAGTTATATACTGCATTAACCACATCTAACAAGGTGATATTCTTGTTCCATCAATGCTACAGTTTGACGCCCCACTATGCTCCCAAAATAACTTTGTTGAAGGTACTGAGAATTCTTGCTGGAGATCCTCAGAACCTTCAAAACATCAGTGGTTCAACAGTCCCTGGATGAAAGTAACAAAGGATAAAATAGGTTGCAAAGCTGAAGTAGAGACATATTGAAAATATCACTTTACTCTGTACTGTGTTTAAGGGACACTCCTCCCCTATGTTGAAAGTTTCTACTTTTATATTATGGTTAGCTAAGCTAGCATATCTAGGAAAGAAGTAGTGGTCACTTCACAGGGCAGGCCTGCATCCAGTTTACATTTTGACTCTACTTGATGGAAGACAGGAAGGCCACTTTATAAGGACAAGTGCCCAATCCAGGATATCTGAAAGAGAATTCACAAGTGAGACAAACATTCTCTATATCAGAAACATGTTGCAAGACTCTGAAAGTCAAGTTTGCAATTGCAGATAAACAAAACCCATTTCTTATTTTCTGGCAACTTGGGGTCAGTTTTAAATGACAAAGTTTTTCCCAAATCAGTAATGCAGGAAAATGTTTTACTGTTTGCAGCTGCTTTCCATTAAAACAAATGGCAACATGCTGATGCAAGAAACATTCAATAGGGTGAAATTCTATGGCCATTAGATGCTGCCCAGTCAGTCACAAGATAGGTCGGATCCCCAGCTCCGACCTCAGAAATGCATCCTGAGCTTGGAGCTGGGACTCTAACCACAGACTGCTCACTCCACCTTTGCTGCTGTTCTTTCTTTGCTGGCTGCAGTTTTAAAGTCCCAGGTGTGGCTCCAAGGTGGATGGGACATTCCAGGAGTGAGGCTCTGCTGATACATGGCAACTTAGTGGTGCCTCAGGACCTCCTCCTCGTGAGCAAAAGCCTTCTAAACCTTTTCAGGAGCAGGAGAAGCATGAAGGCAGTCTTTGCCTCTGCATTCTGTCCTCAGTGGGATGCCTAATTCTAATTCTGTGAGTTCAGAGGGTTACTGGCAGCCACCCTTATATGCTTTGCTGAATTTTGCTACATATTATTGTACTACGTTTGTGCTTATGCTGCTTACAAAATACAATTTATGGAACTCACCAGGACAACTATGGATCTACACATTTCAGCAAGTCTGTCAGTAAAACTGTTTCAGCTTCAAGAAGCACATGCTTTTATGAGTTATTTATGGATGGCAGGTTGGTGACTGTCTGTAAGTGAATGAGTGCTTTGAAGAACTGGTATTGTTTTCACCAGCACAATTCAGAAAGGGATACATGTGCCTGTGCAAAGCATAACATCCTTCAGAGGAATTATTGTAGTAAGCCTATTCAGTAAGCTAGATTGTTTGTAAAAAGTTGACAGAAGATTGTTAAATTAGATTTGGAGACCTTTCTAGCATAGCAACTTAGAGATTGAATTATGAGTTCTCAATTAACAGAATTGTCTCTGTGTGACACTCAAGACAACCTATTCTCTTAGTCTTAGCCTCCATCTGCCACCCGGAAAGACTACGCAGCAACTTTACAAGGTTATTTTAAGAAGGCAGCCATGTCCTTTTTCAGGAAACTCCTTTCAATACCCCCACCCCCACCCACAGATGTACATTTTTCCTTCATCTGCAACAGTCAGTTGCCATTCCTTGGCAACTAAGCAAGCCCTTGCATGTTCAGGTCCCTAGCCTCTGTTCACCTGCCGACAGTAAGTTGGAATTCTGCAAATCTTGGGGTTACTCCAGAACTGAAATGATTTCAGCGTTCTTAATGTGGCCTATGTTGTCTTGTTCAGTCTATTATACTTCAAAATAATTCTGATGTTTCATCAAGGTTTCACTGTACACTTTCAGCCAGTTTCTCATATGGATTTAAAATACAGTGGCACAGTGTCCAGCAACAGAACCTAGGCACTGAATAAGAAAGAGCAATCTGTGCAAATGTGTTTTGTTTGCTCCTCTATCTTCTATTGCAGACTTGAAAATGGCATGAGAACTCAGAAGTGAACATGGAAGATGAGGTTACAGCTCTATCCCAAGACATTCCCTTGACCACATTCTTACCATACTGTGTGCAAAACATTCCCAATCCCAAATGTTGGCCTGATGTCTCTTGTGTAGGCAATGTAAACAAAACTGCAGTTAAAGTGTCATGTTAAATATTTATTTATTTATGACTTTCATCAGAAAAGTATGGTTAATTTAATCTGCATAACTCTTAAAGTCAAAAAACTACATATAACATTTCTCCTCCTCACATAGAATTATAAATACCAACTCACTCCAAACAATGGTAAAACACTGTCCACAGACATTTACTGTGTTACAACTGTAGCGTAATTGTAAGACAAGATATGCAAACCGTATAAGAATCCCAAGATAACTAAACACTGAACAGCCTTCTCCCCTGAGTAAGTTTGCACTTGGGTAAATTTTAGATTTGTTTTTTCCACAGAGGTTTGCCAGTTTGCATCAATATATTTACAGACACCAATTCCCTAAGTGGTGCCAGCTGACAGGTCAGCTATTGAAATATACTTTGCAAAAAAGATGCCAGCCAGAATATTAAACATTAGCTCACATTCAAGTTTCATTTGACAAGGAACACCCTTCTCCAGTAGTGTTTTTAGAATGTCATCCAAAAGCCCTTTACAAACAGAAAACTAATCCATTCTGTATTTATGGGGGGGGAGTAAAGGATTGCTACCATGGGGGGGGGCAAGGTAATAGAGATGAAAATCAGGTGATCAAAGGGCCTAGTGAGAGACATCCGTAGTAGAAAGTGAAGAAATGCCAGGGGACGGAGGAACAACTCAGAGCTTGGAGGCTCTCACCACCAGTTGTTTACAATTTTGGCAGCAGTTTTACAACAGGCTTTGCGGAAACCTGCCAAATATACTGTTTGTTTCGTAAACTTAAAGCTATCTTGCGCTTATATTACTAGCTTTAAAAAATCACACCATTTGACAGAGGATCCTAACTATTCTTTTCTTGGCATTCTACAGAGCCTTCCAGGGTAATCCTCTCTAATGTGAGCAGGGGTGTGGGGGAGTCTAAGAAAAAAAATATGTGGATAATAATTAGCAAATAAAAGGACTAGGGCATGAAGATCCTGAATGCTTTTTCAAGTGGACCAGACTGTATCTAAAAAGCTAGAACTATTTTTCCAGCTATGCCAAAATTATTACTGAAGCATTGGCAGTTTCATTCCATATACACAGTAAGATCACATTTCACTTTGAATAAAATGCATTAAATTGGGCAAAGCACCAAACATTCTGATGATAATACCAAAGATGAAGCAATGTATTTAAATGAAAAAATGATTGAATAAATTTCTATTTTCAGCTGTTAAGAAAAATGTCACTATCTGTATGTAGAGCAACAAATGCCAGTTATATATTACTTTTAAACCATATTTGAAGTGGAAGTGAGAATAAATGTTAAATATTTATGAGTAAATGCAATGCATAAATATTAAATTCTCCTTGCACTGAAACCTGAGAAATGAGGTATTTGTTACATGTAACTGAGGATCTCTTATCCTCCATTACATGTAAATTCTTATAAACAGATGAAACAGACATATGTGACATGCCTATGCAGTGTGGCTTTTTGCTTTTCATGCTTTAGTTTGAAGTCTATATTGACATATCTTGCTAACACTAGCCCAGAATGAATGGTAATATGAAGATCAAGTAAATGGAAACTTTAAAAAGAGACACACATTAAAAAAACATGAAGAAACAAGAGTCCAGTATTGACTTCAATGAAACACATTTAAATGAGTTAGAAACATGCACTTTTAAGAATTTATGCATATAGTTTGCATCGTGATGTAATCACAATGTTGTAGCTCATTTAATATTTCCACCCCAATGTTCACAAAATGAAGATGCCGTTCATGTTAAAGGACTGCTGCTCCACCATTGTTCAAGAGAAAAGGCAGAAGCATCCCAGGTTAATTTTTATGGATAACGTACAGCTTTGTATAGTGCAGCAAAAAAGGAAACAGCCTTTTGATACAAGGTAAAGTCCTACCTGTGCTTTTTGATGCCATTTGATAGAGTTTCTCCACTTTTACAGGCTGTTTCTTCGGACATGTTAGATATTATAGTGTCACTAGAATCCACACTGTCTTCTAATGAGTAACTGGTCACAGTTTCAAATCCACTCAACGATTTTTCGGATTCTGAATCTGCAAGACAGGTGAACATGAAGCAAACTTCAAAGCTAGTCTTTCGTAGGCTAAGAGACACCACTCTTGCACAGGGCAATGAAACCGAAGTAGCCTATCCAGGTGGTATTGATGACAACATTTGTCCAGTGAAAACTTAGCACTAGTGGAGGTTGAGTCTCTGGCAGAACACGAGTAAGCAAACTGTTCAGCACCAGAGCTTCTAGACTAATGGCGAATGTGAGCAAGGACCGACAGGTAGAGAGTTCTCAGCGAAACATTTCACCCCCTCCTAAACATAGGGTTGGTACAGATGTAACTCCACACCCAGCTATACTTAGGGAAACATAGAAAAAAACACTGCATTTTCTTCTTCCCAGATCCTCTCTTCAGTTTGTAACCAGTGTTAGTCTAACACAAGTCCTACTCATTTCAATGGGTCTCAACCAGAACCATATGCATCATTTCAATGGATATCATAGGATCATGGATATTATTTCAATGGCTATAACTCAGAATCATTAGATTCCACTGCCCTTAGCTACAGTTACAGGGAATTTGCTGAACAGAGGTTCATTATAGGCATGGTTCATAGTAAAATGTGTTTGGGATCAGGATGTAAGATTAGGTGGCCCATTTCACATAGTCTATTTTTAAAAAGTTTTTATACAAATAAACAGTCTTCGATTCTGTATGAGGTATTCCACACAACAAGTCAGTCATGTGTTAGCCAGACTAAATATTCAAAGTTAGCTATTTCAAACATTTTCAAAACATGGGCTATTTGCTTTTTAAAGCCAATTTGTTCAGCAATGAAGGACAGAAGCACAACATTAGAGCAAATATACCCATCAGTAACAAGTTATCTTGTCTACAGATTATTTTTTTCTCAAACCAAAGAGGAAAGGGCATTCATGAGGGAGGTCTTCAGCAGGGCAAGTGGCACAGCAGTTGACAGCTAAGGGAGGGGGAACCAAAATATCTATACAACGAATCTAGGTCACAAACTAACTGGTCAAAGCCCAGCATTTCATTGTTAGCCAAATTTCTTAGAAATACTACAGAGTTAGTTCCATGCCTTTCCTTGGGCAAAATGAACAGCTCAGCAACTGAGTAATTATAAACTATTCACACACTATACTTAAAACAGAGGCAGCAAAAAGCCTGCCTGTTGTATGTCTCTCTACAGACAGATATTCAAATTTGCCTGTTTGCTATTTTGTATGCACGTAATGTTTTACTAGCCATAGGAAGAACTAAGGAGCTACCCAGGTAATTCAAGCCAAATTGCCAACAATAATATTCCCTGCAGATTGTATTCCCACCTTCCACCTCAGTAGCAAGATCAAACCTCACAGAGCAGGTTTTGTCTTCCAGTTAAGGAAAACAGAGTTTACTCACTCTCTTTCCTTCCACAGTGACAGAACTAGAAAAGCAGCCAGGACAAGACACTCAGAATGTTACAGCCTGAACTATAAACAAAGCTGATCAGAGCAAAGAAAGCCAATCAAGGCATAGATAACTGTGCAAAATTGCAAAAGCAATGCATGTTGATTTTTTGGGCATTAAATATTAAAAGTCTAAGACGACCCCATGACACAGAACACACATTGCGACACAGTCTGCATGCATGAATTTAGCTTATAAATTTTCCTTTGACCGCTAATGTTATTCTAGCATTCAAAACTAAGGTACAAAAAAGCTTGCTTACTGCATTTCAGTCCTTATCTACTGCAGATACTAGCTAGTTGGATGTTTGATAGTAATTTCTATTATATGCTATGGATACTCTCAAGTTTCCTTTCCTGCAAGTCAAACTCTATGATCCAACTTCCAACATTATTTTGGCAGAATTCAACCTCCATGTCTCCAATAAAGGGTTGAGTGAAGTGTAATTCAGATACAGCCAGCTTCTGCTATGAAACAGTGCTAAAATCAAACTAAGCAAGTGGACATTTTTAGGCACCTGGACAAGCTGCTCTACTGGGTGTAAATCAAGATTTTGAAGTTATTTATGGAGCACAGGAAATAATTATAGGCAACAGAAGAGATTTTAGGGTTGCAGTATACCTGCCCTTCTGTCAGATACAGCAAGCTGACAGTAGCTTTGCTTTAAAAAAAAGTGTAAGGTATTGTGGTTAAGATTGTAAAAGGAAACTCCTATCCACACTGAAGACAGAACAAGGTAGCTTGTGTAATTTAGACAAGTCCTGAAAACAAGGGATTTGAATGGTTCCGAATGACCTGCCAACAATAAAGTCAATCCCATTAATTAATTAATTAATTAATTAGAACTGTAGGCTCATATATGCAGAGTTTCAAGTGATGACAGGTGGCCTAAATTAGCTCTTCTCCACAAACTCCAGCTTATTTTTTTAAGTTTGGCTTTATCAGCCCAACACTATTGTTTTGGAGTGGTAATTCTAGGTCTTTTTAATAAAAGAGGATGATAAGCAGTTGTTTTCTATTGCTTAAGAAATGTGTATATGCCTGAATTACAGTAACAGACTACTGGACACAGTATTTCAGTTTGTGCTTGGACATGACTCTTAAGCTTTTTAAACAAATGTAAGAAAATTTACTTTTCTACAAACAGCAGCATGAAGGACTTGGGAGACTATTCCTTCAGTTCTCGAAGGAGATATTAAGAGTGCCAGGCACGTATGTCCCCAGATAACTTTAGATGTGATTTAAGGATACAAGGACACATGTTTTGTCTTAGATTAGAATCCCACAGTGCCCACATGCCATTGTGTCAGGTTAGAGAAGCTCACAGAAGCGAACTCCGCTGACCTGACTTCATCCAGAGGCAGACATGTTCTGCTTGTTTCTGGGGTTCCTTTATGAAGCACTAACTCTAGGTTGCACTAGCAGTGGGCCAGTGCAACAAGAGAGAGCAGGCTGGCAGTAGTGGATGCTGCCCCTAGTGATCTAAACGACGTTTCTATGCATTGTAACACAACCTGTATCCCACAGGATCCTGTTTTTTTTTTTCCTTTTCTCCCAGCAGAACGTTATGTGACTTTCTTCTGGGATGGACCTATCTGGTGACTGACATTATTCAATAATGCATGCGTATGTCATAAGACACTTAAGGCAGGGAAGGGTAGGAAGCAAACTGAGATTTATATAGGAAGATAAGAAGCTGCCTCACAGAGTCAGACTTTTGGTCTATCTACCTCAGCACTGTTGGTGTTGACTCACAATGGCTCTTCAGGGTTTCAGGAAGGGTGCAGTGCCAGGGATTGAACTGGGACTTTCTGTACACAAAGCATGTGCTCAGCTACTGAGCTACTAGATCTTTGGTAGCTGGGTGATTGGGAGATACTCCCTATGGAAGGGTATAAACACAGGTGTCTCAGGGCCCTGCCTTGGACCAATGCTTTCCCACTTAGTCGTAGATAATCTGGAATAAAAAGTGGGCAGTGTTTGCTGAGGACACCAAATCATTTAGGGTGGTTAAAACAAAAAGGAATTGTGAAGAACTCTGAATGGTATTCTTCAGACTGGGAGAATGGATAACAAAATGGCAAGTGCTGATCAATGTGAACCAGAAGAAAATGATACAAATTGGGGCAAAACTCCCAGCTTCAGGTATAAGCTTATGGGATGTGAACTAGACCAAGAAAGAGATCTTGGGGTTGTGGTGAACAGCTCAGGGAAAATGTCAACCCAGTGTACAGCTGCTGTAAAAAAGGGCAAACTTCGTGTTATGCATAACTAGGAAAGGAAGTAAAAATTAACTGCCAATATTGTACTGCTCTTATACAACTCTAAGGTGCAAATACTTTGAATGCTATGCACAGTTTTGGTCATTACACCTAAAAATGAGAAAGGGGCAATTAAAAAGGAGCAATTAAAATGATCAGCAGACTGGAATGAGTCCCCTGTGAGGAACAGTTATAACTCCTGGAATTGTTTAACTTAGCAAACAGGCAAGTAACTGGAGACATGATAAAGGTGTTAAAATTATGCATGTGTGGGAGAAATTGGATAGAGAAACTATTTTCTTCCTTTCACATAATGCTAGAACCTGGGGTCATCCCATGAAGCTGACTGGTTTGAGATTCCATTCGATTAAAGGAAATATTTCTTCACACAACACACAGTTAAATTATGTAGTTCATAAGATGTAATGAGGGCCATGTGGATGGCCTCAAAAGGCAACTGGGCAAATCCATGGAGGTGAAGCTTTCAACAGATCTATTCCTGACAGCTATATGCTAACTCTAGTACCAGAGGCAGTATGTTGCATACATCAATTGCTTGGGAAACTAAGGTGGGAGGGTGCAGTTGCACTCAAGTCCGGGTTATGGTATTCCTGTGGGCAGCTGGTTGGCCACTGAGCCAACACAATGCTGGACTAGATGGACCCTTGGTCTAACCCAGCAGGGCTCTTCTTATGATTCTATGGGTAGCTCTCTGGTGATTTAAAGCAGGTCATCAAGAGTTTCTGACACCACTTATTTAATGAGAACAACAGAAAAAAAAAATTCCACCTAAATTTGGCTACTGAAATGAATGGGAAAAGACTTCTGAGTGAAATGACTGTAAGAACTGCTCAGTTCTATTACTGAAACTCATAATTTGCTTGGAGACATTCCATTATTTAATTCTATGTGTTCATCTTTTGCATCTGCTTGGTCAGTCTTGGGATTCTAGTAAAAAACAAAGTCAATCTGGCAAGTCCAACGTTTGCCAACCTGTGACTTAAGCTACAGATGCACAAGTTGTATAAGAAGTTGTACTAAGTTGTATAATAACACATGAGCATTGAAGAGAAAGATCAAGAAGGAGATAATGCAGGAAGTTACATTTTTTCATTTTCCTGTGAGAAGTAGTAATACATTAAAGGTACCCAGAAGGTTCTTCAGGCAGGACTAGCCAAAACCATCACCCTACACCATTACTGAGCTCTGCTTTTAGCTATGAGTTGTGAGACTTTAAGATGAATGGAAGCAACACTCCAGTTCTTTAGTTACTTAGGTAAGCTTTCAAGGGGAAGCTCCATTCAGTCTCTGTTCTTTCTCCTTAACTGATCACTGTGCATGCAGATTTTGACCCTGACAACATTCTCATGTTCAGAAAAGAAGTCTTTCCTTCTATAGTTATCTAAAAAATGGAATCCAATCAAGAGGTGTGCTTCCTGCTTGCTGGTACAGACACACAGAATAAATTGTAGTCTGGACTTGGTTTCTCTAAGGAAGCATTGAAAGCTTAGCCAGTTGCATGGATGCAGTAGCAGCACAAGTATTTGAATATTTAGCTTATGACAGTGCAATTCTCTTTAGAATTATATTACATCATTAATGTAATAAATTACTTTACATAAATTATACCAGTGCAATTACATTTCAGTAATACAGCCTAGTTACTATGCTTTTAATAAAATTAATGTGGATATTTAATACTTCCCTCTCCTAAGCCTTTACCAACCACATTTTAGTTTTTGAATCTAAGAGTCTTTTTTAAATTAACTTGTTGTTATCCACAATTAATAAACAGGAAAGATGCCAGATGATAACAATTCCAGGAAGAAGCATAGTCCTTTCAGGATTTAAGGTTCAGAGACCAATTCCTTATGGAGTAGAGGACTCATGGCTCAGCTCCACTTGTGGTTGTTCATACTCACCTCTTGTTTCCTTCACCTCTGGCATATTCTCCCGTCACAATCAAATTCATATTACAAGCTCCTTAGGGTTCAGTGGTCCTTTCCCCCTATTTATCCAAAATGTCAGGGTGCATATATATTAAATTTTATTACAACATGACCCTGGATTGAAGAAATTCCCATTTTGACATGGATTTCATTTTCTGTGTCACACACTTACCTGAAACAGCATCATAGAATTGTTCCTCACTAAGAATGCTCAAAGGTGGTGACCCTTTGACTAGTGACTGCTCTAATTCATGGTGTTCAGTGGCTAGTGTTTCTAGTGCTTCAGATAAGATCTTGTTTTTCTCTTGCTCATGCTCCAGTTTCAGATTCCTCACCTATAAGTAGAAACACGTATGAATAAAATCTCATCTCTTCCAAGAACGTGAGACTAAAGGCTATTTCAAGGATAGGCTCCGGTTTGCAGCAGAACCATGTCAACAGACTCTTTGAACTAAGATTAAAATGCAAAGTTATTTCTGCAGCGGTAGTTTTAGTTCATTTTAAAGCATTACAAAATAGAAAAACTTAAGAAAAGGACTTGTCTAATCCAAAATAGACAATTACGTTTTAGATGTTAGAGAATATAATGTAAGTTTACCAGGTCACTGTTAACATCATCCTTGTCTAGGTTGCAGAATTGTGAAGTCGAGGCAAAACTATCTGACAAACTGCCCTGCAGCACCTTGAAGACTAACATGTTTATTTGGGCATGCAGTTTCATAGCTCCCAGTAATACAGTGAAGGAACATCTGGCACATTATTAGCTTGAAAGGAAAACCCCACTCACATCTCCCCAGTTTACAAAAGCTACTTTGCATGGTCATTTGAAAGCAATTTTTACTACTATAAGTGAATGAGGCTGCAAGGAAAATCCTGACCATGGACTAAATGGTTTCCTGGTTTTAGTCTGGGTCAGACTCCAACAAAAAAAATCACTTTTACAGTTTGGGCTGAATTTCCAGGGTGTCACTATATGTACAGGAGGGCTTTTTGCCAGCTTTTACCAGAAATGCCCCTCCTTTGATGGAAGGAGCATAACTGCTGTCATGTACAATATGGCCCCTACCCAGTCTAACTAATGTAATTACCTGGGGTTACCACTGGAAAGCAAAACTGCCTGCCTATTGATAAGTGGAAACACTGTACTTATTTACTAGATTTACACACCATTCCATATTCCAGCATGCAGATTTCAGAGTGGTGGACAATAAAAGATGAAAATGGCAAAAGAATAAAACAGCATGTTAAGAGCAAAATCAATAAAGCTGTCTGGTTAGTTCAGCAAGGGTTTTCAGAAAGTGCCAGGAATAATACAATGTTGGAACCTGCCGGACCTCCAGAGGCAGGGAATTCCAGAGAAACGAAGGCGCTTCTCCTGCTGGACTCTAATTGGGCCATTAGTTCATATGGACTCACTAGGGACAAGTCATCCGATGACCTCAGTGACCAAGCAAGTTGGTAAGGAAGAAGGCACTCTTTCAGTATTCTGATGCCAAGTTGTCTAGGGCTTAATACACTAGTATTGAAACCTAAAACCTGGCCAATAAGATGCCATTATCATAAGGATCTCCACTGGTTGGCAGTTAGTTTCCAGTTTCTAGTCAAAATGTTGGTGTTGCCCTTAAAGCTCTAAATACGTGATTTCAAAAGTAACTTCTGGTATATGAATCATCCAAAGTACTGTGCCCTATATGGTTGGTTCACCTTAAAATGTATTTACATGCATATTCAAACAGGAATAGGCTAGTACATATGTATAGAACTTCATGCTCATGGGTCAGATCTGGCCTTCTGGAAATCCCAAGCTGGCCCTTCAGATTTCCTCTGATGGAGCTACCTGCTTCCCCAGCCCATCTTCTCCCCTTGCCCCACACCAACTGCTTGGCAATTTCCTGGCTTTTATGCAGGTCTCTGACCCTCATCCCTGCATTCTAAAAGTTGAAATGCCTCACCTAAGGCTTAGTTACTATTAGTAAGTAATTAAGCAAAAATAGGAAGTAGTCTTGTTAGTTTGGCCCCATTCCCTTTGTTTTCAGCCCACCCACCCCCCCTCTACCAGTGAAATGCAACTAAACTTCTGAAACAGAATTCAGCCCTTGGGCTAAAAATGTTCTGCCTCCCTGTCCTAGATGCATGGACTCCTTTGTGGTAGTGCCTTCTTTGGGAGGAGTGAGCTACCAGGTCTTTAAGAATCTGATAGTACTCAATTACTCCCTCCCTACTGTTAAAACTCAAGAACAACTTGGAGAATGTTGGCAGGACTTTACCCATAATAAAGGTAAAAGTTAAGTCTTATTTATTTACTGTCCCATATTTTATTTTTGTTTTGTAGAAGACGTAATTGTGATACAGTTTTAAGTATGTATTTTTGCATCCATACTATATATTATCTATACTATATTATGTCAGAGGTAGTAGACCATAAGTGCATGTGCTGTACTGGTAGAACCCAGTATGAGAAACTAAGCAAGAAGTTATAACTTTAAATGCAAGGCCGAAACTAGAGGGGTGTATTATCTAATGTAATAGTGCACTCCACCCTAATCATTTTGAGTAACAGATTAGTCATGGTCATTAACTTAATTAACTCTTACATTTATTTTTCTCTTTAGCATATTGTATTATTTTTAGTTGCAACCCAAATTACCATTACTATTAAATTTATGCCACAATAGTCGTTTTATGACCATCAAAAGTTGTACACCTTCCAAAACATGCCTTTTACTGCTTCTTGTGATACAGTATATATTTGTATCTTTCTGTAAATAATAAAAAGGCCTTGTTTACCAAATTGTTAAAATGCCAGCATTAACCTATGGATCTCTCTCTCTCTGTCTCTTTCTCTCTCTTTCAATCTCTGTGTGTGTGTGTGTGTGTGTGTGTGTGTGTGTGTGTGTGTGTGACACAAGGGTGTGAAGCTGCATCAAGAAGGCAACTTGGAGAGTTTAGTAAGCCTCTGATTTCTATTTTGCATAAGATGAATTCTACATATATCTGAACAGCTAAGAACATTATGTCACTGGAAGCACAATGAGTTACAGACATTCCATTTGTCACCACCTCCCAAGCACCAGACAACCAATACAAACCCTACCTCTAAGCACAGAAACATGCAAATTAAACATTCTTGCATATGATTCCATATTCTGCATAGGTTATATAGCTTCCAAGATCAATTTTTTTCAAGAATGTTTTTTAAAAGTCATCCACCATATTTAAATGTTTATAAAATAGCCTCAGGCAGATTATTTTTCACACACAAATATAAATTTGGAAGTTTATATTATATAAACCAAAAGTAGCACAACCAAATTCAAATTAAAACAACAACAACAACATGGCACAGACTAAAACAAGAGAGTGAGTGAGAGAGAGAGAATACCCACTAATGATTAAAAGCTTAGAAAAAATGGGATGATCTTACCCTAATGCCTAAATAATGATGGCACTTAGAGCACTTTCCTAGAGAGGGAGTGCCAGAGCCAGAAAAATATTGTCCAGTCAATACTCACATAATTTCTGAATATAAAATCTCCAGAAGTAGTAGGTGAATGATAAAGAAGGAAAATAAAAGAGACTTTAGGTAGATAAGCTGCAGGAACACAACCTTGGAAAGGGTATGTATGATGGAAAGGGACAAAATATGGAAACCAGCTTTTCCCACTGAATATTCATAGCTCTTCCGCAACACCAGCCACAGATTTTTAGTTTTCCTTCAGAAGCTGTGAGGTATGGAAAACAAAAATGGCTTCTTCAGAGGTCAAAACTTTAAGGCTGCATAAAAATGGATCATGTGGCATATTTTCGGAAGATTCTCTAGCAAAGATAATATGAAGCTCAGTACAGAGCATGTTTCTGACAGCCAGGGTATGTACTCAACTAGCCATCCAACAATCAAAATGGTTAGAATAGTCTGTTACCACACTTGTAAACTTGGCAACATTAAACTGTAAATTGCATGTTCACTAACAGTTAATTTGTTTTGCTTGTAGGAAAATGTTTAACAGTGTTGTTGAACAAACAGTTTGAGTGAGTGTGATCAGATCCATATGGGCAGATTTAGATTACAAGCCACGGGCAAATCATATATGCACACTGTTGATCAAAATCATTAAATGGGCTACACGTGAAATTAAAATTACAGCATTGACAAAGTGAACAAATGAGCAGCCAATCTGATGCTCCTTATCTTCGGTGCTATCTGGCTTAAGATCTCATAAGCCAGTACTTTATATACCCTAATTTTTCAGGGATCTTGCCAAGTGCCATGAAGAAACATCCTGTCAACACACAATGCTAACGTAAGAACAAAAAAGGAACCTTGCTGGATAAGAGCAAGGGTCCATCTAGTTCAGCTTTCTGTTCACACAGAGTCCAACCAGCCACTCACAGGAAACCCACAAGAAGGACATGAGTGCAACATTACCCTCCCTCCCACCTGAGTCTCCTAACAACTAGGATACATAGCACTGTGCCTTCGGTACTGGTGTAATTTAGATGCTACTAGCGATTAGCATGAGTAGCTATTAACAGCGTTCTCCTATCAAATCTCCTTTTAAAACCATCCAAATTGGTAGCCATTACTAACTCCTGTGGAAGTGAATTTCATAGTTTAACTTTGTGCTGTGTGAAGATGTACTTCCTTTTATTTGTCCTAAATTAAATTTGCCCAATCAACTTCATGGCATAAACTTGGTTTCTTGTATTATGAAAGAGGGAATGGAACATCTCCCAATCTGAGGTGGCAGGGATAATCTGCATATGCCTGAGGAATTCTGGGAAGTAAGAGGAAGTCACCATGAGCAGCAGAGAAGTCAGACTTCAACTGACCACCTCAAGACAACAGCCCATGTTCCTAATGGTGCATGAAGCTCAATAAATCTACATTTTACTCCTTATTCCATAGCACATAATGGATGGAAAGAATTCTGCAGTGGTGGTGACTTGAAAAATGTGTGTAATGTTTGTGTTCCTGCCCAATTCTATCATGGTGTATACCTGCAAGAAAGGCAAGTTGGTTGCACTATTAGGAAAAGAGAGAGGGAATACCTGAGTGCCAGGTGCCCATGCCCCAAGGAGTAAGGGAAAATGAAGAGTTCTTGGATAGAACAGTGGAACTGCAAGAAGAAGAAGCACCAGAAATGGAAGAACAGCAGCAGGTTGAAGCAGATATGGAGAATGCTTAGTTGAGGAAAACCAATAAAGAGAAAACTCCCTAGAGAAGGGTAACAGGAGCGGGAGACTAAGATGACATTCTGTTCCAATGGAACCACTAGAGCTAATAAACACTTTAAGCCACTGGAGGATGAGACCAGAGGACAGGCTGCAGATAAAG